CTGGGATTGACATGGCCACTACCATAATCAAAAGGTGTTGCTTGAACCAGTGTCAACATTTCAGAAGAAGAATATTCTTGGGCTTGTAGCGGCCTCTCTGCTCGGTCAATAGTTGATGATGTTGTCATCAAAGCTGATTTGATAGCCGCAGGGCTCCAGTGAGGGTACTTCTGCTTCACAAGAGCAGCAATTCCTGCTATGTGAGGAGCAGCCATGCTGGTTCCAGATATCATAGCAAATCCTTCGCCTGATTCCAGCAAAAACTGTTTTACAGCTTCTTCATGGTGTTTGATGTTTTCTTTATTTACTAAATCTCTTGTATTTAAGTGACACTAGTATTAAGTAAAGACAAATTGATTCAACCTTAGACCCAGCTCTATCAAAGCCTTTGTTTTGAAGTTAGCAAAATTGAGCTTATTTATTAGGGATTCATGTATAACAAGGTTACCAAGAGGCACCATACAATGAACAGTGGATTACCTAACTTAAATACAAGTTGAGTTTACCAGAGAAGCCAGTCAATGAAATACCATTACTAGGAGACTCCCCTTGAAAGAAAAGAGAAATGCATACACAAAAGGCCTACATTTTTTTCCTTGCTAACTAGCGTTTTATGTTTCCCATCCCATGGAATCTACATTTTTTCCATCCCTGCAGTTTACATTGTTTCACTTGTTCTCTCCTTGTCAAACTCCGTTAAAAAAAATATTACATGGCTCATTCGACTTCCAACTAACCTTTCTACATCAACATCTATATACTTATTCAGGGACTATAACTAGAGGCTAAGTAAGGGCTAAGTGAAACTGAACATTCCCACTTTCAATTTACGCCTCTTTGGTTTTCTGGAAAACAAGATAACAAGTTTTTTCTAAAATACAATGGCCTGAATAAACAAAAGTGCACACTTGTTACTTTTCACAAATAGAGGTTGGTATACACTAATAATACTCCCATAGAACTAAGGAGGTAACACAGTAACTACTTTTATTTTTTCTGAAATGTGCGTTAATGAAATAGGGCGTTTAAAAAGTAAAACCTCTAGACTAGAGTTGGTCCTTCATTTTGAACACCTGCATGGGCATCAAACTTTTACCAATTTCCAGTAGGGTTGTTGAAAATCCTTTAAACGGTTTTACCTTTGATTTGGAAGGAGATTAAGAAAAGTGAAATGGTGTGGTTGAAATTGACGCAGAGGAGGGAGAAATCCTAGGGGCCACAATTTTTTTTCCAAAATGGAAAGTGGAACCTTTTTATGGGACAGATGGAGGACTGTTTACCTCAATTGAATGCGAGTATCATTAGTTCATACCAACCTCTCTTTGTGAAAAGTAACAAATGTGCATTTTGACTGATGTACTGTGAATTTTTGCTTTTGAACTAGAGTTGACCGGAAGTTAGAGAGGGCTAAAAACAAAGTTAAACATTTTCTTTAACGTAAATTGCAGGGAAGAAAAAAATAGAGTGACATAAAACAAACAAACAAGATATTTGCCGTATGAAAAACTTTTTAAGCCTACACTGGAAGTTCCTTAAATATCACCACCACCACCACCAACAACAACAACAAACCTAGTATAATCCCAACTCTGTTGGTACCAGGAGTCAAAGATGTATCTTAAAGTATATAATGCTGCTAAGGCAAGAAAACCATAAGGAATGTAAACAATACTCCCTTTGTTTCATCATACAGTTCCACATTCCTTTTTAGGGTGTTCCCTTATAATTGTTCTTATATACATTTCGGAAAGGGCCCACTTAAATAAAATATTGTCTTCAATTTACTTTTTATTCTCTCTCTTCTCTATACTCTGCCCAACATCACTACACTTAAGCTCTATCTCCACCACCCATTACTTCTCTTAAACTACGTGCTTGTGCAAGAATGAACACTATAAGGGAATGTAGGTAGCACTATATATTTAACCGTTTTGTTTGTTATATTTAAAACGTGATGTTTCACCACAAAAGTGATTGTGGCCTCATATAAGTTATCCTCAACCAATGATGTCACAGAAACTTTAAAAAAGTTAGTTTACCAATATAATTTGCTTCGTCTGTTCCATTAGGAGCCCATGCTGCCCAAATTAGAGAACCAGGAGCCAGAATATCTGGTTTGAGTATATCAGCATCTTGGAAGCTAAAATCTTTGATATTTGGTCCTCTAGCAGAGAACAATGCCACTTGTGGTGCAGCTTTTTGAAGTATAGGCTTCAAACCATCCCCAATGCGTCCTATTCCTTTAAAGCTCTTAACACGCCCCGTCCAATCTCTTGAAGTGGACAAATTATAATACTTTATAAGCTCCTAAAAGTATAAATTCACAAACAATATTAAGGAACAAAATGGAACAAAGCCGGGACACTAAATAAAAATACTTAATGAGAAATGCAAATGATGAAGTGCATGTCGAAGAACTAAAGTACTAAACATTAGTAGCCCCTGATTCAATGTATATGTGAAACATAAAAATACTTAGTAAGAAATGCAACAGACGAAGTGCATGTCAAAGGACTAAACATAATTAGGCTAGTAGCCCTTCATTCATTGTTAGCATATCCAAGAACTAACCAAGAGCTTATAAACCCACCATATTTTCTTTAAAGTACTGATGTGGGACTATAACACTCTTCCTCGAGTGGCCAACCGGGTCATTTTGAATCTAACAGGTTGAAGACTTGCAATTGGACTCCCATCCCCTGAAACGAATATTTGAAAATGCAATAGGAAGACTTAAAGGACCACAAGCCACTATGTATGGACTTCTAGACAACAATAGGGTCAAATGAGCCACATGCCGTTGGGTATGAATTTCATACAAATAACTAGGGTAAAGATCGACTCACGGGCCACTAGAAATGAACTTCTATACGGGCACCTAGACAAACGAGGTGAGCCCAAACCCGCTCTTTGATTTTGATACCATGATATAATTTAAGATGGAGTGGAGTCACTAACTCAATCATAAGACACTTGGATTGTACCACATAAAAAGATTAAATTCAATCAATAATTTAGTTCAACTCATGAGCATATAAGCCCACTATATTCTCTACAAAGTTTTGATGTGTAACTCTAAGAGTATGTTCTCTCGAACTTATTACATATTCTTATTAGAATCAGATCACATCAGACCAAATCCATTCAGATAATATTTGACTATGCCAGATCAGAATAATTTATACTTCATATTAAAATAATAATAATAATGATACTAATAATAATAATAATAAAATTAACCTACACAAAAACTTAACATTCATCAAATGGTAAATATTTCTTTATAATATAAAATACATTTTTAAGAACAAACTCCGTTATTACTAAAAAAGTATATCAAAATTTAGAGAAATTCTTTTTGTCATCTCTTGTTTGTAGAATTTTTTATGTATTCTGTAAATGTGTAATTTATACTTCTTATTTCTATACCAATTTGTAAATAATTGTTTTAAAAAGAGATGAGATTTTGTAAGTTATTCGAAGTGAGATGATAATTTTGGGATGGAGAGTACACATTTAAGTTCTAATTTTCCTTGGTACGTTTATACCGATTTTTTTTCTTTGCTTTTATTCCAACATATCTAGCCTACCAAGGTTTACAACATCACTTCGAATGATAATAATAATAATGGTAATAACAACGATAACGACATTGATAATGAAAATTTTAATGATAATGATGATAATAATAATAATCATAATAATCATAATAATAGGTATAATATAATAATAACAATAATAATAAAAACAATAACAATACAACTTTAAATTCAATCACATAGATCAATCATCCGATCCATTCAGATTACATCAGACCTTAATGGAATCAGACCAAATCAGATCCGACGAAGAGAACATGCTCTAGCACACTCTTTCTCATGTGACAATCGGGTCATTTTGAAACTAACTTGTTGAGGACTTGCAATTGGACTCAGCCCCTTGAAAAAAATATTTGAAAAAGCAGCGGCAAGAGCTAAAGGACCACGAAATGCTAGGTATGGCCTTCGAGACAAACAATCATGTCAAATGAGCTATAAGCCGCTGGGTATGAATTCCATTAAGACAACAAGGCTAAATATCAAATCACGGGTTGCTATAATAGTCTCCTTGACAAACGATGTGAGCCAAAATCTAGTCTTTAATAGCATGATAGAATTTAGAAGAGGTGGGGTCACTAGACTGGGTCATAAGACCCTTGACATGAACTACATTAAAAGATTGAATCCAATCTATTATCTAGTTCAACTCAAGAGCTTACAAAACCCAAAATTTTTCTTCAATGTTCCGAAGTGGGACTCTAACAAGAATTTTTAATATATCCGTGTGTGTGTGTGAATATAGGGTTGGTTGTTTCTCTCTATCTATCTATCCATATATCTCTCTCTCTATCTATATTTCTATCTCACTCTCTCTCTCTCCCTCTCTCAGTCCCTCCCCCATTCTCATTTGTATGAGTTTGCTTACACAACACAAACATTAAGCAACCTACTTCAAGCTATTTGATAGAAGAGGACACAAGATGATGCCTCGCACTTCTATGGTAAAACTCAGGCTTTCAACCTTGGGGACAAGGTTATTTTGATGAAGGCAGCAGTAATGGAAATCATGAATAATTAACCCCAGAAATTAGGGAATGAATCAGGATCTCATTCGCATCGAATTATAATCATATGAGCATAAATCTAGTAATCTTATAAGGCCTTGATTGACAAATAATATATGTAGTATTACTTATCACCATTGTTTTATGCCTGAAGGCCATACATAAGTTATTGAGAAGAATAGTTCTCCTTGAAAGTTATATTGAAGAGGGTTCCAGTGGATGCTTTGTTTGTGCCGGTTTATTTTGTTTTCATTCCATAATCAATTATACCACTCTTATTTCTTAGTATATGGCCTTTCTACTCCTTACTACCTATTGCTAAATTACAACAAACATAATGTCCCTGGAAGGCTCCAAAGTTTTCAATTTTAGAAACTACAATGGAACACATGGGGACTAAGATGCATACCATTGAATCCTTCTGATTAGTTATGACAATCCCAGGAACTCTGACAGGAACAGGATCATATTTGGTTCCCGGCGAAGAACTCTCAACAGCAAGAACAAATCCAGCGGCACCAAGACTTCTCGCTGTTTCGGAGACAGCTTTTATTGACGATGTTCCAACAACAAAATTGAATGAATAGCCACAAAGAAGAATGTTTCCCTGCACCAAGTTTTTGTTCAAAAGTTCGGGCTTCTGGCAGTCTGAAGGAATATATTTGTCAACCGAAGAGTCCAAAACAACATCATTAGCAGCAACCATAGTGAACGTTCGATTCGGATGTGTAGAAGCTGCATTATCCCGTAAAATGTGTGAAAATCATGAGAATATATGCAAAACAAATTTCAGAACCTTGATAATAATCACTTAGATGCATCCAGGGAAAGATGTTCAGATAACTTATTCATTTTAAATGACACTTTAAATTTGGAATTAAAGTGTTGATGTATGGTTTTTACATCCTCAAAAACAGATGAAAAGATGATGTTATGATGCTGAAAATTTTGTAAAAAATAAAGAAGGAAAATAACAGACACACAAAAGAGAAAGAATTGTGAATTTGCTTGATATTCTCTAATCACCAAAACTCCGTTGGAGAATAATACTTTTTTTCATTTCTTCATTTTCTCCCAAAAAATCTCCTCGTATGGAAGAGGCTTACAAGACTTTCCAAACTGCATAGTACATACTAGGTAAATAAAATACAAGAATGAATAACTAATTAATAGCCTAACTATTTCAAAACTACAAACTAGGTAAAAAAATAGATTATAATACAAACAATAAGGGTGGGAAGGAGCTTAAGCAATGGGTTAGATAATGGGTGTGAACTTACCACCATAACAACACCAGCAACAACAACCCAGTAGAATGCCACTAAAGTAGGGTCGGAGGAGGATGTGTGTACACAAACCATACCCTTACTTGAAAGTAGAGAGGCTGTGCAAACTTACCACCATGCCCCTATTAAATTACTCCCCCCATGATAATTTTTTTGCTTTGACTATCATGGAGTTTAAGAAAAAAATGAAATTCGGGGTTGACATTTAAGTAGAGGAGAGAAATAGTGTGAACCACTTAATACTTAATTTAAAAGGAATGAGAAATTTTTTTGGTACAAACAAGAGCGGAAAGAGAAGTTTATTTTGGAACAGAAGGAGTACTATTCACCTTACACTGTGTGGACGTTGATGGTAAGATCACACTCAGTACCTAACTCATTTCTCCTACTTCTATCATTACTCAACTGATAGCTAATAGCTAAGGTATATATGTACATTACGAATTCACTAATGAAATTATTCTTGTTATTATTATTATTATTACTATTATTATTATTATTATTATTATTAAAATGTTATCTTTCTGTTGCCACACGTTTTTGTTGCTGCTACAAGAACATATCATCTGAACCGACATGAGCAACAATGAGGGGAGCTCTCCTAAGCCACACATTAGAACTTCAACTCCATTACCCTAATGTATACCAGTATATAAAGCAATTGAACTTACGTGACAACCCAATGCCAGATAATATTTTCCCATTGCCAAGTGTCAAATGATTCTTATATCTCCTATCATCAACTGCAGCAGCTACAGATGCTATCCATGGGCTATAAGACAACAATGTTTTGGGGAAAGGACCTCCATTACCGGCTGCTTGAGCAACAAATACTCCAGCTTTGACTGCTGAAAGAAGTGTAGCATCAAAAGGGTTTAGAAATGTGGTTCTTGTAGTTGTTGGAGGACTGTTTGGCCCCACCGACAAATTGAGAATGTCAACCCCATCATGAACTGCCTGCAAATAGATGACTCATTTTTCAGTCATGAGAAAACACAATGTAAAATAATTCTTATAAATTAGCAGGTAACAACTATGTTCAACAATTCCATTGGGAAATAGCTCAATCCTTAGAGTTATGTTCGTCTATGTCATGCATTAATAATTCATCAGCTCACTATGATTTGATATAGAGTATTTCATAGATACCTTCCAGACTGTTAAAATAAGTTCACTTGATTAACTGTCTTCCCTTATGAAAAGTATTATATATTGGTTCGCATGTGTGTGTGTGTGCAGTGGGGTAGGGGTGGGGAGACCAGGACTCTCAAGTCTCAACAGATTGATAATTCCCGAGTATGAGCACTTTGAATTGTAAATCTGTAATCACTTGGTAATTCTGAGGACCCGTTTGGTAAGTGAAGCATGGTTGATATGATATGAGATCTGAAATTTGGAAGAAACGATATAGATTCTGAAATGAAAGTGCTTGGAGAGATCTAAAATATGATATGGTTGTTACTTGTTAGTGACAAGTGGGTGGGGGGGGGGGTTGGTTGTGGGGGTGGCCGGCTGGCGGCAGGGGTGGCCAATGTCAGTGAGTGGTGCCCGGTGGGCAGTGGGTAGCCACCAACGGTGGGTTGTCAGCGGCGGTGGTCGGCTTTTGAGGGAGATATCAACCCCCAAATTGGTATCTCCTATAATTGGGAAATATGAAAACACCCCATTTGGGAGGCTTGTGATAGCGAGAGATATCAAATCCGAACCATGAATCCATGATTAGGCTTCACCAAACACCCATAAAAGGGTCATGATATCAGAGCTCATATCTCTTGTGCTCAACAAACGGGCTCTACAGGTTTATTTGACACAGAGAAACATACTCTTCAACCCTAGATTTTCACCGATTTTCCAAATGATGTTAGGCGGGTGGCATACTATGGCTGAGCACCTAGGCTAGGGTTGGATCAGATGGGATTCAGAAGAGAAAATTCGGAAATAATACGTATATGGTCAAGTGAAGCCAGCGCATACGAGGGAGGGAACTATGAGGGTCTTTATAGGAATTTTTTCAAAACATTAATTTTCACCACCAATTCGTCCATTGCCAATAGACCGAAAAGAGTCATTTTGGACAATGGTTTAGCTTCGAATTAAAATGGACCAAATCAAAATGGCACATTAAACTTCCACTGCTTAATTTCTATGATGTTTTGGCCAATAAAGGCATCAATGGTCTACCAGAAATAGCCTCTAGGGGTAAGGTGATGTACTTCTTCACTTTGAGACCCCAACGGAATTGGGATTATGCTGGGTATGTTGTATATTTTCACCACCAAATATAATTTTTAGCTAGTAAATAACAATGGACTTAGGATTTAGGAACTACGTAAGATATGGGATTGCAATGAAAAGAATTAGAGAAGGAACTTTTAGTAGCTCTGTTCTCTCTAGCGACTAAATGAGTTTCACTATGTGAAACGAATTCCATAGTCACGAGTCTGTTTATAGTCGCGACTGTTGTCATAGTCAACAAGGTTGAAACTTCCAGGAAAAAACTTCGAATTGGGAGGGCGATCCTCCCGGTGAACTGACCGTACCCCAAACCGACACAGGTGAACAAGTAGAGTATACTAGGGCGCTTGAGAGAACCATGTCGAAGGAACTCGGCAAAATGACCCCGTAACTTCGGGAGAAGGGGTGCTCTCCTATCTTTTGATTAGGAAAGCGGCACATACCAGGGGGTAGCGACTGTTTATTAAAAACACAGGACTCTGCTAAGTGGTAACACGATGTATAGAGTCTGACACCTGCCCGGTGCTGGAAAGTCAAAAGGAGAAGTGTTATAATGTAGTGAAAAGAGGACACTTCATTGGGGTGGGGGAAGCTGAAGTTGCATTTGAAATATTCACAAAAGAATCATAGCTTAAATGTATTGAAACTAATGTGAGGCTACATTGCTTAATAAGCATGACGATGTAGCTGTGTACGTATTACACTACCAACTGTAAATACTCAAGCAAATCGGTGGTTTTTGTGTGATGCTATAATACACACCATGGGTGTCTGCTCTTATCATACCAGCATACCTGTTCAATAGCAGCAACCACATCTGCAACAAATCCTCCAAACAGCCTGTACAGTGCCTTGTACACAGCAATCCTGAAAGCCAGTAGCAATTGTAAAGAAAATGTTGTAACATTATGCTTAAAAGAGTGTTGCATCATGTTTTCATAGCTGTAGGAAGCTTCACCTTGCACGGGGAGCCATTCCACTTGCTTTTCCAAATTCAAATCCATGCATTCTGACAGGAATTCCATTGTTTCCAGCTGCAATGGCTGCCGTGTGACTAGTAAAATCGATGAAACAATCCACATTATAGTATGAATAGTATTAGAGGCATATTCCAGATATACTAGAACCCTCAAATGAATTTCAATTCTCAAACACAAATACCTAGAATCTGAAATTTCCTAGAAGCATAATAGAACACCTGCAATTCATAAATCCGTGGATAGAAATAGCATAGTGGATGCTTTTTGGGTTTTGCACAATAGCATCCTTTGATATTAGACGATCAAATTTATATCCCACAATGCAGTAAAAAAATTGTGCAGTAAGTAGGTAGAACTCAATATCAAGCTCAAGTCATTGTGCATGCTCTCTGATATCTTTAGGGACACAGTCACATGAATTACTCTCTTTTAAGTCACTCCAGGAAGGATCGGGATCCAGTGAACTGGAGTTACCCTACTAACTTTCCAAATGGAATCATAGAGAAATATAGATTCCTACAAGTTAGAGTGTAGAAGATCTGTGAGAAAATTGGGAGGGATAGGCATGTTGTGCAGCATTTAGGACATAAGCAAGTACGTGAAAGACATGATAGACTTTGCGAATAGTGTAGAAAAACTTTCAGACTAAAGTTATTTCGACGGTATTCCAGAATACTTCAATCCGATGAGACATATGCTTCAAGATCGAGTATGTGGAGTTTTGTATCTCAAACGTGCCAATGGGCTCTTCTATTTATAGAGCAAAAGCTTTTGGCATGAACCAACATGACTGTTCTGGTGTCATTCTAATGCTACCTTGTAGTATTCGAATGGTAAAAGTGTTTCCGAATTCAGTCTGTTTTGGAAGTCCTTAAACATTCTAATGCTACCTTGTAGCATTCAAATGCTAAGGCATCAAGTCCTCAGAGTTGATTCTAGAAGTCCATAAACATTTGAATGCTAAACATATTTGTAAAGATCGCTCGAAGTTGGGGTAGTATTCTAATACTAATGTCTTAGTATTCGAATACTAGCCACATTTTTGGCTTTTTGCAAAAGTTGCTGGGAGTTACGCCTACAATTACAATACTAATATATAGTATTTGAATGTTTAGTTTTCCACCCTCATTTTGGATTCTGTATATGAAAATCTGAAAGAATTTCATAAAGCAAAACTTGGACCCATGCCACGGGCTCTTCCACCGAGCCCGCTAAGAACTTCATAATATCGTTGAATAAGCATGTACTCCACACCTTTGAACTCGTTAACAATACAACAACAACAAAGCCTAATCCCATTGGGTGGGGTCGGCTACATGGATCAAACAAAAACGATGTCATGGCATCCTATCATGTGTCATATCTGTTGTGAGATCATTCACACGAAGGTCTCTGAGCAAGTCTTCTTAGGTCTACTTCTTCTTCTAGCCACATGTCTATTCACCATTTGGTCAACCATTCTCACCGGATGCTCTATTGGTCTTCTCTTCACATGTCCAAACCACCTAAAATAAGTTTCTACCATCTTTTATGCAATAGGTGTCACTCCAACTTTAGCTCTCATAAATTCATTCTTTATTTTATCCATACACATTACTGCTCATCCAACAAATCATCTTCATTTTCACCACACTAACATTGTGTTCATGTTCACCCTTTGCTGCCCAACACTCTGTTCCATACAATATATAGTTGGTCTAATTCCTGGTAAATTATTTCCTTTAGTTTTTAAGGTATTTTTTGTCACATATAAAGACCGAAGCACTTCACCATTTTGACCAATTGGCTTCAACCTTGTGGTTAATATCATCCTCTTTTTCTCCATTGTCTTGAACTCATTAACAATGTTTTTAAAATTCTTTCCTAACCTTAAGTAAATTCAATTAGCCAAAAAAGTCGATGACACTAAAATCACGAACAAGATATAGGCCAAAAAAACTCCGAGGAAGGAAACAAATAGACTTAGGGCCTGTTTTTTTGGGTTGGAAAGGTTCAATTCCAAGTTTTTCTAACTCCTTCCGATTTATTCCAACTCCTAGTTTTTTCCAACTGTTTTCAGTTCCTTCTAACAACTTAAAAAAGTATTTACATATAACGAATATAGAATAACATCATACATCCAAATTTATAACATACCACCTCAAACATGGTCAAAGAATAAAGATGAAATGCTTTTTATCCAAAATTAGTTTTCTTGCAAAATTAGTTTTCTTGCATATTTAATTGGGTGATTTTTTAATACTTTAATTTTTCCAACATTTTTCAATTCCTTCTAATTCTTTCTAACTCCTTCCGGTTTCTGCCAACTCCTAGATTTTCCTAACTTCTTCCAATTTCTTCCAAATCCAACTTTAGTATTCCAATCGAAAAGAACATGCCCTTATTTGCTAGCCATTCATGAACAATAGCAAATTTGTTTCTTCTGTTTCTTTATTTTGTATGAACAAATAAGTTCGGTTATGAGTCATTTTCCAAACATTTTCTTGATTGGTTTTCTATGTATATATCTCACTCATGCTACCCATTTTATAATAAGAATGTAGTGAATGAAATGCAATTTCTTTGTCTGACACAGTGTATTTCAAAACTAGCTAGTGATTTGCTACCACATTTCCTAATTTCATCTCTTTGTTTGGCATCTTAGAGTGTGCTTTAAGAGTCTACATTTATACCTCAGTTGTTATTGTTGAAGTATAAAGTGAATAAAAGCCCTAATGTAATTTTTTAAAGTGTGTCGTATAGTCGTATACTCGTATCTCATATAAATCAACTTGGATTATCCCTTAAAACCCATAAAAATATATTCTTTCATAATCTGTATTTCTCGTTTGATTAGATCCCTTCCCTCATTTTAAATAGGACGCCTATCTAAAGAAACCACACAAAACCAATTGCTTGCTTGCTAGACCATTCATGAGCTCCAAATCGCTCCTTTGTCAAGGAAGCAACTCAACCAAAAGCTCAAGCTTTATACAATCCAATTTAAGGTATACCATCCATTGGTCGATCTTTTGAATCTATTGGTTTACTAAACTTCTCAGTTATTAAAGCCTAAGTTGCGTTGTTTAACTTTCGGCATGCCAAAAGGTATTCGAAATTCCCGAACCTTATATCCACTCGTCTGCATGACCAAAAATTAGCACACTAGTATATCTGAGTTTCTAAAATAGTGAAAATAATTTTGACAAGACACTTAAAGCATGGTAAACCGTACCTTCCATGTCCATCACCGTCAAGAGGAGAATCAAAATCGATTTCAGGATTAAATGCACCGGCAGCTTTAGCAGCTTCTGCAAAATGTTGAGCTCCAATGATTTTCCCATTACAGTAGTAGTTCTTCCTTGTCTTCGGATCCTTTTCACAATGTCCTCGAAATTTTGGAAGAAGTCCATAGGGTTCAGCAATGTGGTTTGCAAAGCAAGGATGGTGTGGAAAAATTCCAGAGTCCACGAAGCCTATAACAATATCCTCTCCAGCCCTATCAAAGCCACCTCCAGTTGGCCACACTCCAGTGGGAAGCCCCAGGAATTGAGGGGTATGGGTTGTAAGCCTTTTCACCTTCCAATCCTTTTCAACTGATTTCACACCAGGAGCTTGTCTAAGGATTTCTGCCTAATAAAATGTTAAGGGTGTAAGAAAGAGATTAAAGAAGGTCATCAACATAAATCACATTTAAAAAATAGTACTCCATCTGTCCCCACTTAATATACCACTTTGACCAGGCACAATTATAAGGAGATGATTGAAAAGTGAAAAGTGAAGTGTGTGGTTGGAATTTGTTTAGAAGAAAGAATTATTTTGAACCACTTATTCTTTTCCTTAAGTGGGAGATTATTTTGGGACACATGAAAAAGGAAAGTGTGAACTTTATTTAGGGAAGGAGGGAGTATGTGTTTTCTTTCACCCCAGAAACATTCAAGATAGTATCAGTAGAAATTAATGTATTGTCACCTGCTCAGGTGTAATATGAACTGCAAAGCCATTTATGAGATGGCGGTAACTATATAGTTTCTTGTAAGTTCCTTGGTCAAACAGCAACCCTAGAAGCATATCATGTTTCTTTTCCAGATGTTTTGCATAAGATGAAACAGAATCACTGTAAATGAGGCATAACAGAAAGCAGACAGGGTAACAACATCAATTAAGGATTAAGATAGAAATAAAATCCATTGTGTAAAGAAGTTCAGTAATGAGCATTTCTTAGATGTACATGTGCAAAACTTTTTACTGATAAGTTATACGACTAAATCATTTTTACTGAGTTCCTTTTAGTTGGAAATCAACAATTGAATTAAACTCTCTCCTTAAAGGTGGCCAATGACCAGTGGTTTTATCACACCTGGAACACTTTGAATTCCTTGGGAGCTATGCAGTTCAGTTTCAAATGCTTCTTCTTTCTTGGTTGATGTTTAAGTAAATGAACAGTGATGGTGGAACAATGAGAAATACAACAGAAACAACAAAAAACCCAACAAAATCCGACAAAATGGGGTCTGAGGATGTAAGCAGACCTGCTTCCCCTAGTAGAGAAGTTATTTCCAAGAGAGGCCCCAACTCAAAGCACAACTCAAAACAAAAAAGAACCCGGAAAGAACAAAACAACAAGTAAAGAGAAAAAGAAAGGGAAAAGGAAAAGATAAATACATAAAAACGAACCAAGCACACACCTAACAATGAGAAATACATATGTTCATAATACAACTGCTGAAATTAACTACAAAATAAGTAGAAATGATATTAGGGTACCTGGCTACATTAAGTTTCTCATCTTCCTCCAAAGCTGTAGCATCGAAACCATTGATTCCACCTTTATAACTTATCACAGGTTCCCCTTCAACTGTCACGATGTAAATTTCAGCGTTCCCAAAATTCAGCACACCCAATAAAACATATGCAATGAGAAGTCCAAAAGCCATTGTTGAGGCACACACTTTGACGTCAACAGTTACATCTCTGATTCATCCACAACCCAGCAACAGTATGGAGGCACAAACAAAAATTGATTAGATCACATAAAATGGCCCTAATAGTATGAACAGGGAACATCACTAAGTGAGGTACTTTGTGCCTCAAAGCTAATTCCTAGATCGAAAGGCGAATATTTATGCTTCAAACTACAAATAAATTACACCACCCAAGAAACTGAAAAGTACTTCCACTTAGCTAAATGAAAGAATTTATCACACAAAAACACCGAACTGGTAGAAAGATATATTACATTTAGGAGTCAACACTAAAATAATGATACTTGTAACCAATCACAAACATCCGAACTATACAGATCCAGTAGCTCAAACAGCACCCCTGTTCTGAACGTGAAAATATGCTTACTTGGCTAGCTGTAGTAGACTTGAAACTGGTTTTGAACATATAGCGATCAAGTAAGTAGCTCAAGCAAAGAATCAAAAGCTATAAATATAGAATATATAGATAATGAAGTAGAAACAAAACAAAAAAAATAGGCTAAGATCTTTACTCACAATGATCTGCAGAATTATGGAAGGAATCAAATCATGGAAAGCTACTCCTTATTTTGTAATTTCTCTCTCTATCTCTCATTCTTCCTCTTTACTACTGCTGTTGAATACTGAGTCACATGAGTGGACGAAGTCCCGAACAATCAATGATGAAGACTGGCAGAGGCAAAATAAAAATGACTAATGTACTGTACCGCTTCTTTTTATCTTTACTCATGAACAATACACCACCCCTTTTTCCATCACATATTTTTATTTGATTTTTATTTAATTATTTTTTTTAATTTTTTTTGTCTTTTTTAGTAGACAAGGAGGGGGTGAGGGACATATCCATTCCTGCAATCCTATGTGTACGAATTCTAATGGAATGATGGTCTATTCTTTCAAACTGTGAAGACGGAATAATTTGCAAATCTAGGCTATCTTGTTATGAGTTCAAAATATAGACTTTGATATTGAAAGGATTAGACTTTGATATTGAAAGGATTAGAAAAAGAAATTGGAAGACTTTGGCCCAGATTGAAATCAGAATTAGATGTTAGCATTAGCATTTTGAAAAAATTATTATTTTTATAACTAACCTGCACCATAAGTACTTTATCTAAAATGTTAACGCTAATTGAAAACGTTGTTCTCAAACAGGCCTTTTCGAAAAGTCGAAAAGAGTTAAAAAACGGAAAGAGTTTGAAGAAATTGGAAATAACAAAATTGAGCTGGAAATAATTAGAAAAAATAATAATGAATAATCCTATGTTTACCTTATTTTTCAAAAGTAATGTCACTCTTTACTGTGATGCATAATAATCGTATCTTTAATTAAATGTGCAAATTTTGGACTACTATTAAGCTACTAACGATATGTTTTGCGCAATAAAATAAAAGTTAGAAATATTGTTAATACATTCTTTTTTTTTACTCTTTTTGAAACTTTTCCTAAAATTTTTAAATTGACATTGTACCTCCATCATTTCTTTTTCTTTTAGAAAAAAAAATAAATTTTTTTAAAAAAAGAGATATAAGAATAACAAAGATGCGAAACACAACTAAAATCATAAAAAGAATGAATTAAAAAGGTAATCTATAAAAAATAACCTCATACTGGTAAGAAATCAAAATATATGAAATGGTAGGTTAAAACGTTTTACACATTATACAGAATATTAATATATTACTTCCTCCTGCTAATAAAATATGAAAATAAAAATAAATACGGAGTAATATATAATAAAAAAATAAAAAATTTATTTTCTCATTAAAATCTTAAGGAAATAAAAATACATTTTTCTTATTAATAAATAGTTAAAATAATTATGTTGAAGTAAGAAAGTAATTTATTAATTAGTTTTAGTTCTTATCAGTTTGACATTGGTTTTTATTGAATATCCTTTTTTCATTAATTTTGTAGAATTTTAGTTTTTTTCTCATTTTTTATTTTTTTTTTATCTATTTCTTTAGCTATGACTAATTTTTTAAAAAATAAAAAGAAATGATGGATGTAGAAAATTATTTTAAAAAATTTAAGAGAAAATTTCAAAAAAAAATTAAAAACAAAATATAAAAAATAGCCTCAACTTTCATTTTGTTGCAAAACAGACCATTTGTGTTAACCAACCATTAGCAGCTTAGCGGCGACCAAAAACTCTTAAATTACAGTAAAGTTTAGATTATTATGCATTATATTTATAGATGAGATTATTTTTGAAATACCTAGTAAAGTTGAGATTATTCTCAATTATTTCTCCAAACTAATTTTACTCATTTTTTCCATTTTTTAAAACTTTTTAAAATCATCAGCTTTGATAGAGTCGATAGAGCAAAACATACATCTTATCACTAAAATAAGAGAGACATGTTTTTATCTCCAAAGTATGGTGCACTCATTTGCTCCATACATCATAAAGTCATTCAAGCTCTATTTATTTGCGTATTATATATTAACTTCTAGCATTTTCTAACTTTTTTTTAATTTCTTCCAATTTCTTTTAGTTTTTTTCGACTCCTAGTTTTTCTAACTCGTACTAGTTTTTTAATTTCTAGTTTCTTCCAACTTTTTAAAGTTTCAGTTAAAAAGTATCCCACATCGGAAAAGTGTGAGGAAAATAATGGGTATTGAAACGCTCCAAAACATGCTCTAAAAGTTATTTTATAATAAAAGTAGTTTAGAAGCAATATTTTGACCCAACAAAGAATTATTTCTATGTTTGGCCAAAACGAAGGAAATTTTGGAGTCAATGATTTTTGTTAAGATTAACTTTTATGGATAGGTCTCGAAGAGATGAATCCAACGGTATATTTTATGAATAAATCTGATGTACAGATTTTCAGTTATGACATTTTAAATATGTAATTTGCATAAAAATGAGAAGTGGTCAAAGATGTGAACTTTTGCAAAATGATTTATTGAAATAAATATTTAAATTGAATAATATTGATTGAATATGAGAGGAATTTTAATTATATATCAATTAATTCAATTTTGACTCTGTCAAAGTCAACACCCAAAAATATGTTGTCAGAAAAATTATTTCAAATAAATATAAAATTGTATCGTTGAATAGAGTCTGATTGTCTGATCGTAATGGTGCAAACGGAATTCAATTCGAAGAAAGTTAGACCAAAAAGTGTACCGTGACGGGAATCAAAATTGGTCCCAATCAGGAAACCGAGCCTCCTCCTCCACTATGGGCGAACGTGATATTTCCTACGCAGCACACACTCAAGATTTGTGTCTTCCTTCTCTTCTTCCCTATAAGAGAAGAATTCAATCTTCTCATTTCTCCACCAAATTGAATAAACTTAGTGTTATAACGTTATTAAAAACAAGGAGAGCATTCTGCAATAGTTAATTGTCGTCAAGGTCGCCGGAGCTAGTCACAAACTTTGCTAGAAGTTTCTCCAGAAAATTCTCAAAACCCTTATTAAGTTTCGAGGTAAGCCCGCAGATATATCTAGTGACTATAATGTTTGTATAGATCGTTTCTACGCATAAACGGTTGTTTGGTTGAGTTTTGTGTTTGACATGTTTGAGGAACCAAGAATCATAAACCTTTAATTTGTTGTTAAAACTTCGAATTGATGCCTCTAAAATGATCTACGAACTTTGGAAAACATTTCTATATAGTTTAATTGAAGTTTGGTAACCTAAAATGAAGTTCGAGGAAAACGGCCGAAGGAAGAAGAAGATGAATAGTAGTTTCTGTGTTGGGTATAACAGGTACCCTGGTACCGTGTATAGGTACCATTACCAGGTACCGTAAGAAGAAGAAAATTTTTAGAATGGTACGGTCGACCGTTACGAACATTTTTCCGTCCGAAAATGCTATTTTTGAAGCTATAAAATCCTATTTTTTATGTCAATTGATTATGATCAATATAAAGATGATATTTCACAATAAAAAATGATGTTTTGGAGAAATAAAATCTTGCGTGATGCATGACGGTAAGCTAGGGTGTTAAGACCCAAAGCTAGGCCGCTATTTGTTATTGAATATTATGATGATTATTACTAATTGATGGTTATAATGATGAGTATTGATTGATGATTATGATGATTAAACCTTGATGAATATTTTGATTAAAATGATAATTATGAATGATTAAATCATAATAAATACTCCCTCCGTCCACAAATAAACTTTACATTACGCGTTACGATGTTTGACTGAAGTTATTTTCAAATCATTTTATATGAAAAATGGTGTAGAATTGAAAAATAAAAATTACATATTAAAAAACTATATCAAAAGATCTACAAAACTAGAGGTGACATGACTATATTATTTTATCAAATGGGTGACGAAAATAGGCCAACAAAGTGAATAAAGTTTGACCCTGTGAATAGTGAACGTAAAATTTATTTATGGACGGAGGGAGTACATTGATAATTGTGAAAATAATATGTATTGTGAAGGTTATCTAGAAAACTCTAAGATATACCCCTATTAATTTTGATTTGAAGGGTATCTAGAAGAACTATAAGATATACCCAAATGACCATTTTAGTTAAGTGATATTGATTTCAATGTTATCTAGAATAACTCTAAGATATACCATAGTGATGTTCATTTTGAAGGGTATCTAGAAGAACTCTAAGATATACCCATTTAAGTTAGGCCTTGCGGGTATGATGCCTTGTGGCCAGGGTTAAAATGTATGTACGGGATCCAAGAACCAAACTTGAGTACCTGCTCGTTTGGAGGTACCACCCAACCCAACAGTGAACACTACGTTGTCGGTTTCTAGTTGACCTTAAGCGAAGGTAAGTTTAAGATCTTAAAAAACCTTTTTAAGATCTTCTTCTTTTTCTTTCCGCTCTTGTTCTTCTTCTCGCTCTTCGTATGCTTCTTCTTCGTGATGTTCTTCTTCCTCTTCGCTTCGCACTTCTTCGTTTAACTCCAGTTGATGTGGAATTCTAACGGCTCAGTGGCGAAGTAATAGTTCGAGGTTGTTCGTACCAGGAAGAATGTTTTCACTGCGAGAACGAGTGTCCATACAACTAAAAAACTAAAACAAGAAATTCTTTATTTTTATTTATTTTTCTATTTTTTTGGTTTTTTTTATTAAAGGTTTGAAAATCATTTCTGGACTGGTGCGGATCACTCTCTCACCCAGAAGTCTAAGAATGACTTATCTGGAACTATCGAGCTAAGAGCTGGATGTCTCAAGATCGGAACTCTCAAGCGGATAAGTGGGAAAAGACTTAGAAAGATTTATCTAGGTCACGAATGAAGAAATTCTACCCGTTGGTAAGGAAAAATCAATTTCTTGATTTTCAACAGCTATTGAGACTAACATCTTGAAATAAGTTATTCTGTTGATGAGACTAACATCTTGAAATAAATATTTATCTGAATGTCCATAGTCGAGTATTAACGAGAGTGGGATATCGTTAATGCATGTGAGACTAGTGTGTGTTGGATGTTTGACTTAGTCTCATAGTCAATGATGGTGTGTTCGCATCCGCACATGGGCAGATATTATCTGGAGATAATAGGATGCCTGACTGACCTATCCTAAAGATGTTGCTTGAACTTTTAGCTCATGCTCTAAGCATCTTTAGCGCGACCACGGGTGTAACTGACGAAGCTGCTAGGTATAGCGGTAAGTCAATAAAATTAACCGAGACTAACTCGGGTCGTTTCACAAGGATTGGCAAAAGGAAGTATTTGTTAATTATCTTAAAATTTTACTTCAAACAATTAATTTAGAGCAATCAAGTTCAAAGCAATAACAGTAATATGATTAATCCAAACAATAATTTAGAAACGGGTATGAATCGAACAAGTATATGGGCTAAGATAATAATTTTAGATTAAATTAACTTCTTAATCAAATTGATCTTATATCATTAACTTATCCATTTTTCAGGCCTCATTAATGTGTCTAAATATGGTTGGCTAGATTATTTTTCTTAACTCATAGACAAGCTAGATAAATAATCTCCAAAGATTAATTAATAAATTGGCCAGATCTATTAATTAGTGAATCTCATTTTAGACCATTGAATCAAATTAATCAAGTTACTAACTTAATTTTAACTATTAATCATTAGCCCATACCCTTAATTCAATTCATACCTAAGTATAAATTTAGCCACTAAAAGCCATTAGTTCACAATTCAAACTAAGTATAAAAGATAATTTTATTAATAAAAGAAAAGTTTACAAGAAAGCTTACAGATCTTGAAGAATTGAATACAAGGCTCACAAATCTTCAAATCAACACTCTAAGCTTTTCTTGAAGGACTCTCAAACTCAAATAAGGTGAAAAGTGGAATTCTTGGAGTGATGGGGAAGGAAATGGCCGAATGGGGTATTTATACCCGAGCAGTCATCACAGGCGGGCTGACAGGCGGCCGCGTGTCAGCCCGCCACCGCCAACAAGGGAAGCTTCTGGATCGCCGATGTTTCGAGAATCAACGACAGACGGTCACGGAGGCAGGCGCCTGCTAGCCCGCCGGAGCCAATTTTCCTCGCCTGCGCGTGTGTTCGCCGCCAAAACCAGCTTTCGCCGTTTGCTGATGCTTGGCAGGCGGTCTGGTAGGCGGCCGCCTGCCTGGTCGCCTGTCGACACTCCAACTTCCAATTCCATTCCAGGATGAAAATATTACGAATTGCTTGTTGAAATCAAACAATTTTTATTTTTCTTGGCCCATTCAATTTTACTACTCAAAAATATAGTTATATGACTTTTAATCGAAAAATTATTTCTTATTAAGATGAAAAATTATAAAAAAAACATGTTAAATGCGAGGATAAAATTATATATAAAACGACTTTATCAGTAACTATCCTTCGACTTGAAGTATTACGTTTTCTGCATATGTGAACCCGCATACTTTGATGCATCAACCTAAGCCATATGAAATAAGGATGGTATACAGACTTTGTTTTGGGTATGCCACAGCGCGTATTCAGAAACGTAGATTACGTACATAGGATTTGTCACTACTCTTTTAAAGAGATTAATGTCTTATGGGGCCGACTGATAAGTCATGACTGAGGTAACTGCATGGCCATGCTGAGATGTTTTTATGACGTCTGTTCCTATTAGTCAGACTTGATAAATCAGTGAATGACTTAATGGATACAAGTTGGATTTTATTAATCCCTTGCATTAAGTTTAGACATTGAGACAAAGGGATACAATTACACGGAGTCTGAGTCGCGGAAAGGTTTTGACGGTGCAAACGTCTTAACTTATAATCTGGGGGCAATAATGTGTTGCTAGATACCGCTTATTGCTTATAGTATTGGTGCAGAACCAATACTGTGGCCAGCTTTATAAGTGCCTATACGGGTCACACACTTTGGACAATTTAAGGAGTAAGATTAAACAATGGGATAATAAGTAATTTGTATATTTGTAAAATAGTAAAATAAAATATTTTGGAGTATAATATATATTATATATACGGTTTATATATATATTTAATATATATATATATATGATAACACCGAAATATAAATATATTATATGTTGAATATTTTATTTTGGTTTGTCATTTTAATTATGAAAATAATTATTTTGACATAAATTATTTAAAGTATATTTGTATACTTGTTTAAAATGATATTGGTATTTTTATTTGATATAAAATTAATTTTACATTAATTTTTGATGTCAAATAAAATATATTTTGAACATTTAAGTGGAGAAGAATTTTGAAAATACTTCCCATACCATCTTGTTCGGCCATAAGGATTTAAAGGATCAAAATTAGTCTTTGATTAATAGTTCAATTTTTAACTTTAGCTTAATGACAAAAGTTTGATTAATCACTTTGTATTGTTTTGTTTTCTTTTTGATCCACGGCACAATTGAGATAGAAGGGTGTGAAGATGATCAATTTGTGTATCATAATATTCGGCCATAGGTTTTCTAGTGAGAGAAAAATATTAGTTTGATTCTATTTATATCGTTTTGTGTATATAAAATATCTATAATACTTTCTAAATATTATTAGAAATATTTTCTATAGAAATATACAAGATTATTATTATCCCAATTTTAATCTTTATATTTTATACTACTATAATCTTTACTAGCATAAAGATTGTGGTAGACTCCGGCGTTGTTCGAGTTTCAAAGTTGGAGACCGGACGCTTGAACGGTTATGTTTGCACTTTCAACGCTCTTCCTACGACCTCTTCGTTTTTACCGCTTACGGAGAAAGGTACAAATTTTTTACTACTATAAGTTTTAGTACGTGATTCTGGGCAAGATAATCATTTAGGATGTTAAAAATTTTATATTCCGCTGCCTATCCTTGCATGGTTACCTTTCAGTGGTATCAGAGCCAACGTACAAAACTATAGTTTTACGTTTGACTTTTAAAATTTTAAAAGTCAAAGTTTTAACTTGGTAATGATTAAAATTCAAAAAATGGTATAAAATGATTTTATTTAGTCTTGGAATAAGTATTGGACTTAAATAAATCATTGAAAATGAATTTTAACTTTATTTATTTTATTTCTACCCGTAATATATATACATACATATATTTTGATTTTTCGAAATATATATTTATATATATTGTATAAATAGTAAATATAATTTTATTTGGACATAAAACATCATTTTATGATTGATAAAATTATATTGTAATTTTTTAATGTATTATTTCCTATTTTGAATTTGTTGTATTTATTTAGGTGAAAACCGAAAATAAATATGGGAAAAATCAAAATGAACTTTATTAAACTTGGAAATATTATTTCTAAGTTGAATAAGGTTGTTGATAAATATAGTGTACAAAATAATATTAGTTAGTAATTAAATAAATATATATTTATATATGTACTCGGTTTTATTACCGAACTATTATATATATTTATATATTTGTATTTTAATTACATAAATGAATAATATATATTTTGGAAAGTTATTTCTCTGTAAGAAAAAGAATGTTTTTTAAAATATTAAATTTTTATAATTTAATATTTTCGAAATCAATTTAAATGGCTTTTTATAACTTATTGAGATTTAACTAATATATTTTGGAAATAATGATTTATAAATTTTGGAAATTTTATTTCCAGGTTTGTAAATGTTGAAAATAATTACTGGAAATTGAAATTTAATTTTCATAATTTTTGCAAAATTGTTTCAAAATTTTAATGGCCTTTTTTGAATATAATTTTGCAAAAAGGGCTTTTTTGTCATTTGAAATATTCTGGAATTTTTTTATGCTTTCCGAATATCCAGATTATATAAAAGGATTTTATAAAATTTTATTAGATTTATTTGGACATCTAATTTAATTTTATGAGTTTTAGAAAATATTTACTCCATTAGTATTTTTTCTAGAACTGTCCGGGGTGAGCGCGGTTCACCCGGTGTATGTATATCTCTATTGCCTGTGTGGATGTATGATATGCATGGTGGATGATTGTAGCTATAGTTTATTTGATTACAATACGGCCTGCGTGTCGTGCCTTATCTTTTAAACTCTTGTTGTAAATCTATTTCTCTCTCTTACCTCAACCAAGGATTCTTTTCTCACGTGGTGGTTAGAAGATAAAAAGATTTGATGACTGTTTGGAGAAATCTAAAAGAATGGAGATAGCCCGAAGTTCAAGTGCCCGGAAGCCAGTGGGAGCTATCGTTTTATTTTTCTTTTAGGGGCCACAATCATTACACGTTTATTTACTGCATTTTGTGAATGCATGTTGAATGTATGTTGAACGCTAGTAATGGACATGTGTGCGGCCATGTCGATAGGTGAGATCGAAATTATAAATCCCTCATGAATATTAAGTCTGTTGCCTTCTGACGCCCGGCAGCTATCCGGCTAATGTGCACTGTCATGTACTCAGCCTCAGCAGAGCATAGTACGATGTATATTAAGCTGGTTATGGGAACCGCCATAGCGTGGTCGCTGTCGTACGTTGGGTTAGACTTAACTGAGTCTCGGTCAAATGGATGGACGACTCAGAGGCATTAAATGGGGGTCATCAATGACAAGTCGGATGATTTTACTCACTCATCCAGCCAGGAGTTGGATCTTTATGATTTAATTGGAACTCTGTTCCTAACCAAAGTACTCTGCTTGTAAGACGTGCATCAGCCAATTACAAGTATGGTGAAAAGGTGTCCTGCTCCGGTTGTAATAATATTGTTCGCCCAACACTAGACCAAGAGCTGAGAGCCCGGCTCATCAGTTGGAACTATGTTCCTACCTAAATAGTTGTCTTGTGGAGTAACGCTCAAGTGGAACGCAAGATAATGAAATATGGATCTTGGCCCACTAGAGGTTTCGCCGGAAATCTCCGAATCAATATCGAGGGTTATTGATTTGTTAAAAATAGTGGGAGATAATTAATTAAAGGCCTAATTAATTTTTAAACATGATAGATAACCTAGTTTGCAAAATTTTCTGTAGGTGGCAAACAACAACAACCCTTTCAACCTGCGTTACATCCTGGAAAACAACAAGTTATCCGGGAGCAACTTTCTTGACTGGGAGATGAACCTCCGAATCGTTCTTAACTATTAGAGGAAACTCTACATCCTCGAAACGGATCCTCCCAAGACCCCTAATGCTAATGCTCGTGTGTGCGAACTCACTTCCTTCAAGAAGTATGAGGACGACGCGCGAGATGTAAAGCGTATCATTATGGCCAGTATGACCGCGGAGCTCCAAAGGCTCCACGCGGACATGGAAGTGCGTCCTATGATACAATGCTTAAGAGACCTTTACCAAGGTTAGCCCCAAAACTCAGGAATTTACGTTATCGAAGTCAATATGTCTGATATCACCTCTTGGGTGATGGATACTGGATGTAGTTCTTTTATTAGTTGGATTAACTTTTTACTTTGTATCTCTTAACTAGCGAGAAAATATTCGTTAAGTATTTACTTAATAATTGATCCTGGTTCTAGAGATCAATTACCAATATTAAAGAATTTGACTTAATTAAACTCTACATTTCTCAGAGAATGTAATTTTCAAAGATTGATTAATAATCTTTCAATCTATTAATTTTACCCAAAAATTACCATCACCCTACCACGAATCACAATCCTAATAAATTTAGCTACTTATGGTTAGAGATCTAATCAAGCATTCATAATAAGAAAACATAATTCAATTGATAAATAAAAGTAGGAAACTTACTTTGACAGGATCTGAGTAATAGGAGGACCGGGCTACAAATTGCTCTGAGAAAACTCCAAAAAGTAATTCTAAACTAATATATTGGTAGAAACTTCAAAGTATTTGAGAAGGAATAAAAGTGTTGAGGTTTGGAGAAGGGGAGGATCGTCCAATTTTGGAAAAAAGCCGCAGTTTATATAGGGTCGGACGCGAAGCGTCCAAGTCAAAGTGTCTAGATCTGGACGCCATAGCTGTCCCGTCCATTCAGCATTTATCACGTGTTAGTCTTGGAACGCAATCCACTCCAAGCGTCCGAGTCGAAGTGTCCAACCCGCAAAGCGTCCAAGGGTTGGACGCTTCAGATTCGTTTCTTTTGGGCTTTCGCGGCTTGGTTCAAATTTGGGCCTGGTTCTGTTTCCAAATGTCCCCAAACACTATTTTCGTCTCTCTCGAGATGCTCTTGATAATAATTTTCATCTTAAAGTTTCTTTTTCTCATAAATATGAAAAAAATTGAAAATCTAAACTGATTTATTTTAGAACCAATTATTATTCCCTTTAGAACAAATCAACAGATATTGTTCGAATTAAAATGTAATTATGTACTGATTTATTACTACTTTTGTTCAACAAAGCTTAAAATATGTTGAATAAAATAAGAACAAAATGGACTTATCAGGGACCATCAGCATGGTCGCCACTTCAGTGGTGGCTTGCACTCGGATGGAAGAAGTGGTATTTTGCTGACTGGTTGACATGTTTTGTAAGTGGTGTTTCGTGGGTGAGAATAAAAAAGAACTCAAACCGGTCCCACGGTCGGCGCCAAAAATGATGGTGTAAATTACCACCCAGGCAAACTACTCCAGACCGGGTCTATGATGGTTTGCTGAGTTTAGAAACTAAAGTGGCACAGAAAACAAAAGTTGATCGGTAGGACTATAGGTGGAAACACCTGTAGTCCAAATGTTATTAATTTAAGTATATAGAATAGTAGGAGGTAGTATTACACAGTGCTCTTAAGAGATAAAGTTCAGATCCCTTCTATTAAGGTTGAGGGTTACAAGGCCATTTATAGTAGAGCCTAGGGGACAGGACAAGGAATGCCCACGTTGTTGGACGATGCAAGGTGACTTCTCTTGTCACATAGCATTTGTCCCACTCATTTGTCGGCTTGTGCTGATGGCACCTCTCTTGGCGCGTAGTGTTTGGACGACAATATCTAGATATTCTCCGTGATCTTCAGTCGTTACCGTCCAACCATGCTTGGATTATTCTTGCCGACACATGTACACCCAAACTGGCCACCCAATACAAGTTCCAAAAACTTTCCCAGGTAGTTTCTTGAAGGAGCGTCTGATCACTCAAGGATCCCCATGTAGTTTCATGCTAGTTGACCGGGTGCCCAATAGTCACCCGGGTGGTCATGGTTGAAATCCACCCGGGTAAGGTAAAGATCCACCCAAACAACCCTGCTGCATGGTACCTGGACTTTTCCCGGGTGGTCTTGGTTGAAACCCACCCGGGCAGGATACTGTTAGCCTTAGTTTGCTAAGTCTCATGTTTTGATGTTAACAAACAATATAAGAGCTAACGTTTGTTTAAGTGTTTCAGGTACGACAAGAATCCATTAAGATTCGGTTCTCAAGAATGAAGTCGAAACACTAAACTAGCGTAGAATATGGGTAGAAACCGATGTAAGGATATGACTTTATATATCTATATTCACAAGCTCAAAAGCACTCATAAAATATGTTTAAAACCTTATTATAATCATTTTTCATACATCCAAAAGAATTTAAACAAAATAGGAAATGATTTAGACAAAAATATAAAAAATCATCAAAACAATCAAAAGGTACCCTATACCGTAAGAGGTACCGTAAGGGGTACCGAGAGCCATCTAAGAAGGTACCCCCTACCATGGGGACCCCCTATCGTAAGGGCTACAGTGAGTCAAACTGAGAACGTACCCCATACCGTAACCCATATGTAGGTACCGATCGTAAAAATGGAGATCAGCTCCTTTTGCACTATGGCGGTACCCCCTACTGTGACCACACACACAGGTACCGACCGTTATGGTACAGAAATAGCCTAAACACTATTATAATGGTACCCTATATCGTTTCAACGGTACCCCCTACCGTTACCGTTGGAGAAAAAATTCAAAATCCGGATTTCAAATTTAATCACATTTAATTAGTCAAAATCATTCCAAATTTGTCTCCAACGGCTAAATGACTTTTCCCACTATAAATACAAGATTAATTCTTCATATTTTAACAAGAAAAAAGCTCCAAACATCCTCCCTTTATACTCTAAGTGTGTTCATTCTTTTATTTATTATTTTCAATATTTTGGCTATTTCAAGAGCCTTAAATTCCTAAGTTTTATACACACACTTGTTAGAATAAGTGACCAATGCTAGAGGGGGGGTGAATAGCGTTTGATCGTAGAAATCGCAGGAATAAAAAATTAAGAACGTGAAAAGTAAAGAGTGTAGAAAGCGTAAAGGGAGCACACCAAGATTTATACTGGTTCACCACAACGTGTGGCTAATCCAGTCTCCCGAGAGACTCTCTCGAGCTACACTACTTCCGTTAAGCTTACGGGTGCTTCACAAACCGTTACAACCTGAGAACTTGAGTCCCACGAGCCTGAACAACACTTGCTCAGAGATACCGTACTCCAAGACTTCAACCCGAAGGAAAATACCTTTCCTTCGTACAACCAAGGGAAACAAGCTTCCCTTAACGTGTATACAACACTAAGACACTCAAGAACAAGACTCTCCTTAAGAGTGGATATTGAGTAAAATATATAGGCTCAAGAACAACTCAAACTTCACACAAGTTGGCTCTAGAACGCTATGGAAAATAATGTGGTTTGGATGCAATGATAATATGAATATTGTGAAGTGAATTGATGTGTAAAGCAGACCCAAACACCCCTTTTTATAGTGCCAAAATAGGCTCCAACGGACCAATACATTAAAGGGGTGATTGGCTTGATTTATGGGATTGAATAAATTTGGGATCTGCAGGATATTGGCTTCCCATCGATGTTTAGACTCACCCATCGCTGGTAAGCCAAATTTCCTTCAGTTTTGAAGCCAACGGTCACCTACCCATCGATGGGTAAATGCTTCCCATCGCTGGGTGGGAGGTTGACTTTCAAACAAGGAAAGAATCAGCCTTAAATGACTCACAGCGGTCATGCCTAACCAGCCATGGGTATGCCCTCCCATCGCTGGGTTCCCATCGATGGGTAAAGGTTCCCATCGCTGAGTAAGGACTTTCTGCCTTGCGAAAATGTTGGACCAAGGCTTAAACAGCGATGGGTAGAACTTCCTATCGCTGTTTGGCATAGTTCTGGAAATCAGTTGGGCTGAAGGATGCTTACCCATCGCTGGGTAGAATGATTCTGGAATCCCGGGATCACTTACCCATGCATGGGTGATATCTACCATCGCTGGGTAGATGGCTAGCCCAGAACCATGGCTTAACTGACCAGCACTAAAACCCGACCGAAAAATGCAAAGTTCTCCAAAGTAAAAACTAAGTATATAAAACACTTATTTAATGTATTGTGATGTCAAAATAAGCTTTTTAAGTTGAAAACCACGTCGTTAAGGTAAAAACCACGGTTGACCAAGTCAACGCCGTACACGGGTGGTTTTTACCAAAAGGTGGTTTTCATGATGTTTTGATTGGAGAACCATTTAAATTCATTCAAAAACAATTCCTACACAAAAAAGACTTGAAAACCACTTCATTTAAGTAAAAACCACGGCTAGCCAAGTTTATGCCGTTTCGCATGGGTTTTATCAAACGACAACAAACGAAAGGTGGTTTTTGAAGTGTTTTTGATGGAAAGATATTTAAATGTTCCCAGAAGTAAAAACCAATCATAAAAAGTTGAAAACCACTTGGTTAGTTCGGGCGCCGAAAACCGAATGCTGAACGCTGGTTTCTGAAACCCGAACGCCGAATGGCTTGGTTTTTGGTTTGGGCGAACACTAAGTGTTTTTAATGTTTTAAACATGTTTGAAAAACATTTTTATGATGTGAAATGCAATGAAAAGAATTTTATCCTAAAGAGCCAAGGTGTAAAGATTGGGTCGGTCTTGATCATAATTGTGACCGACTCAACGACACTAAGACTACGGTCTTGGTTCTTGGTCTTCTTTTGGCCCTTGTTCTATATCTTCTCATCTTTGGTTCTCGCCTTGTATATTCAATGACTTGTCTCGTTCACGGCGGTTTGGCATTATCTAAACCTGTCATAACAACGAACACGGCTTTAGTACGAAAACGTGATAAACCCGTGTTTCAACAATTTGCCCCTTTTTGATAAAGGCAAACAAGACGGGGTTATGCATAGGAGGATTGATTTGAGACTTAAAAAATGTTCCCCCTTAATAAATGCAATTTAGAAATAGTTCCCCCTCAATCTATGCATAACCGTTATATCTTCCCCCTTTTGACATTAAAAAAAACAATTAAAAGTAAACTTTTATTCATTTAAAAGGGAAATGCAGAATACAAAGGATAAAAATACAATCATATTTAATAAGGAGAAAATAAAGAGGATGTCGTGGCATCGGTGTTGGCCTTCTTCTTTGAAGCCTCGGTTTTGGTCCTTGACTTTCCTCTAGCCATTGTTGAAGCGTTTAGAAAGTGAGTAGAGGCTTAAAGTATGCAAGAAGACTGTGAGTTGTGTGTTAAAAATGATCAAGGATGGTTAATATTTATAGGAAAAGAGAATTTGGGCCCTTGGTGTTAAAAAAATATGGCTGTTAGGCATTGAGTGAGATGCCCAGCGGCTATGATTTTTGAACTACAACAGGCTTCCCAGCGATGGTAAGGTTCTCCCATCGATGGGAAGACAGGTACTGGAAAGGGAGGAAAAAAGTGAAGGCAGCCTTCCCAGCGATGGTAAGGTTCTCCTATCCATGGGAAGACAGCTACTGGAAATCTGATAAAAAAAATTTAAAAAAAAGTGTCAAACACCCAGCGATGGGAAGAAGTTCCCATCGATGGGAAGAGGGCTGCTGGTTAGAAAATACTTCCTTCCCAGCGATGGGATAAACCACCCATCGCTGGTTCCCCTGAGTTCCTCACTTTGATACGTACCTGCAAAAAAAAACAACACTTTGGTACCCAAAGTATGTCTATGGGTCCTTGGGGGTTAGTTAACCTTTATTGCCTACACATACCCAAAATTCGTTTCCTAACGCGCACACACACACACACGATTAGATGATCGTTTAGTAGTTACCTTGGCCAGCCCATGATCTCGTGGTTGGCGGGTTCTAGTCTACCTGAATGGAGTGCCGATATCTCGGTGTGGTCTGTGTTGGTTCCAGTAACGGAATGTGGATTTTTTTCTTTTCGTCAAAGTAGAAGAAATAGTAAGGTTTCTTTTGTGCATTATCCTGTGCAGATTGGTCTTGGGGATCAATTCCGTTGGGGATCAACGGAATGTGGTTTTTGAAGTGTTTTTGATGGAAACCTATTTAAATGTTCCCAGAAGTAAAAACCAATCATAAACAGTTGAAAACCACTTGGTTAGTTCGGACGCCAAAAACCAATGCCGAAAACCGATTGCCGAACGCTGGTTTCTGAAACCCGAACGCCGGATGGCTTGGTTTTTGGTTTGGGCGAACACCAAGTGTTTTTAATGTTTTAAACATGTTTTAAAAACATTTTTATGATGTGAAATGCAATGAAAATAATTTTATCCTAAAGAGCCAAGGTGTAAAGATTGGGTCGGTCTTGATCACAATTGTGACCGACTCAACGACACTAAGACTACGGTCTTCGTTTTTGGTCTTCTTTTGGCCCTTGTTCTCTCTCTTCTCATCTTTGGTTCTCGCCTTGTATATTCAATGACTTGTCTCGTTCACGGCGGTTTAGTACGAAAACGGCCGTGATAACAACGAACACGGCTTTAGTACGAAAACGTGATAAACCCGTGTTTCAACAACACTTTGAGCTTGTGTTTCTAGTTATATACTCTCCTATCCATAAGTTTATATTGTATTTTTGAGAGAGTATAATCTCCTTCTACATCGGCTAAGTTTTGTTCTTCATTTTCATATTTAAGCCGTTGTGTAGAACCCTTGTTTGTGTTCTTCAAACACATCTTTATACGGTCGAGAATAGCCGTTAAATTCTCACGTTGTAGCGGTCGAGAATAGCCATATAAATCCTTGGGTAGAAGGTTCAAGGATAGCCTTGTAAATCCTTGTGGGGAACGGTCGAAGATAGCCGTGAAATCTTCATTGTAAACGGTTCGAGATAGCCGTTGTAAAATCTCGGAGTGAATCCTATTGGCAAGGGGTGTTTGCCAAAACTAGTGCGGTGCTTTGACGGAGTTTAAGAGACCGGGACTTAGTGGATTTGGAAATCCTTGAGGAGGAGCCTCAGGGTAATGGAGTAGCGGTTTCCCGAACTAGAATAAAATCTGTGTGTCTATTACTTTATGCTTATATTTCTACGTTTTATTTATTGCTTCCGCATTTGCCAACACCATTTTTATTAAACTTTGAAAAGATTTTAAATGCCTTATTCACCCCACCTCTAAGGCGTGGGCACAACGACTAACAGATACAGATCCACCCAAACAACCCTGCAACATAGTACTTGTACCTTTCCTGGGTGGTTTTGAATGGGCCTGACCAGGGTCATGGCCTGGGTGGATTACACCTGATGGTGTAAAACTGGTCAAATACTAAGTAAGAATAAGTGAAAGGGCTATAGGTGGGAACACATGTAACCCGATTTGTTATTAATGATATTGGGACTGTTTACAAAATACAAGCCGTGTGGATTAATTAAAGCTTGCCTAACAAATGATGCTTTTAACCCTATTTATAATAATGAAGAAGCACGTCAAGCACGTCTTCGTTCTTCCGGCCGGTCAATCTCCAACCGGTCAGTATGCATGCCTTTGTTAGACGAAGCCATGTTCTCGATTCCGAATCTTCTCAAGCCTAACCGGTTAGACTACCCGGGTTGACCAGGTCATAGGGCATCAGACTCAGGTACCTCTCAGTCGGTTGCAAACCTACCGGGTGGTAACAATGGGTTAATATCCATCAAGGAGTCCTCCGATTCCCGGCTCTGTGGAGCGGGAAGCAAATAAGGGAGTAATTTTTGAATTTCAAGTCCCCGAGGCGGTTTTGGCGGGAAAATGTCTTCTGGAAACCGGTACCAAATATATTTGATTTTTTTGAATATTGAAATCCTGGGTGTTGAAGGCGGGAGAATTTTTATGGAAATCCGGTACGGCGCCGTCGAGTTGTCGCGTCATTTTGCCTTCCTGAGAAGTTATGATTACAAATCATTTCGCCTGCCACGTGTTGCTCCCTCATTGGTTCAGTTGGGCGGCACCTTCCCTATATAAGGCGAGGTTCCACACTGAATTTCTTCACTTGCAATTCGCTATCCAAAAAACTGCCCGGTTGCTACTACTATCTCTTGAGTCCTCCGAGTCTTCCTAGTCTCAAGTAAGTGTTCTTTCCCCCTTTACATTTCTTTGCGTCATGTCTGAGAATGAGGACAGTTAGAACCCTTCCGTCCATTCTTACGATTCTGATGCCTGGTCTCAGGCCTCTAGTTCCCATTCCTCATGTTCTTTCTCTGAGCACAGCCAGCGCCCGGCTACTCCTAAATAGGAGAAGCCGGTCGACGCCACCACTTCTGCCCATTCTACTTCCGCGGCACAAGTGGTTACAGTAGCCCGACCATTGGATGATGGATTTATTCTGCTGGATGACCGGTTGCTCCTGGAGCTCCAGGCAGTCATGCAAAAAACTCAAGTCCACGAGCTGCGTAACCTTGTGTCGGAAGGTTACCAATTGTCTTACCGGGCTACATGGAGGAATATCATTTCCCTCCACACCGGTACGACAATAGGGATCCACTGCCATTCTATTATGGACTTGGGAGAATTCTCCATTCACCCGTTTAAAGTCCTCTTCTTCGAGACATACGAGATCATGCCCGGGAAGCCACGCTCCGAGCCGGGGACAACTCTACCCGCGGTCCCTATAATGTTGGGAAGTTGAGTGTCTACCCGGGGCCAATGACCGACCCAGAGCCCTCCATCGTCCGGGGAGATGTGATCCCTGATGCGATTCCTCTCCGCCGTGTTCAGGACTCCACTGCCCAGGCTTCTACTGCTGCCGGTTCCCTTCGGCGGTGGAAGAAGAAGGAAAAAGGTCCCTTCCCTTTTCTTTTCCGTCAATATTTTTTATTTTGACTTGTCATTGTTCTCTACTAACCAGTTTCTTTTTTTTGTTGCAGTGGTGAAGTTCAACTCCAAATTCGTCATCCCCAACATCGATGATGTTGAGGGGACCACCACCGTCCAACCCTTACCCACCAGCCAGCAACCCCCTAGGATGAGCAACCGGCTCAGTCCCAGCAGGGGACCAATGTCCCTCTTCACTCTGGGGATATCTATATTGATATTGAGACTCTAGAGTTCGACAATATGCTCGGGAGACCAGGCACACTTCAGAGGCTGGGCAGGGTGGCCAACAGCTGGAGGCGACCGGCCAAGAGGAAGCTGCCGAGGAGGCCCTGCAGAGGAAGAGGCGGAGGATGAAGTCCGTCGACCAGTCTGCACTGTCCTCCAATGCCGGCAAAGGGCAAAGCGAGCCCCAGGCTATGGTGCCCTTGGCCCGGTCGGACGAAGAACTTTTCGAAGCTTTTTGCGCCGCCCTGAATTATGTAAGCCCCCATCATTCTAATATTTTTCCAAATTATTCCTGCAATGTTTCATCTCCTAAAGTAGGTCGGCCGGATTAGCCAGCTTGGTTGGAGGGCATGATGGTTGCTTGCCGAATGGAGGCCCAAGTTGCCTGGTTGAAGGCAGAGAAGGCTGAGGAGAAGCTCATGGAGCAGTACGCATCCTTCCAGTCTCTTTATGCTAAGCACTATGGGCTGCTGAAGGAATCAAAGGAGACCGATGCCCAAGCCCAAGAGAAGATCTCCGATCTGGAGGAGAAAGCCGCCCAATCCACCGATGAGATCGCCCAGCTGAGGGCGGAACTTGAGAAGGAGCGTGCCGACCGGGATTCGCATGTTGCTGCCTGGGCAATTCCTGATCGGGAGACCGTGGCTTCCAGGGGCTCTATAAGCACAATGTGTCCCAAGGCATCATAGACGAGATCGAGACCTTCGGGTTCGAGAGCGGCCAATATCAGGAGCGCTGGGGGCTGTAGGGGATCCTCAATAGGCGGATCAAGGACTTCGATCCCAAGGCCTTCTCACTTCCCGAGCTACATAATGAAGAACCGGTCCCTCCCTTCGAAGGGATCTGAGTTGATTTGTAGTTTTTTTGTTTGTTTAACATGTAATGTTTTGCCCTCGGACACTTGTATAAACTTTTAAATATTAATGAAGTTTCATTTTCTATGTTGTGTGTTGAGTGCCTATTTAATTATATGTTTGCATCTTGTGAATGCACCCGGCTACTTTGTTTTGGAAAGTTTTTTCAACTTTGTGTTTACTGCCGGGTAGATGACTTAGAAATAGCCCGGCTGAATCCACCCGGTGTAACGTATTCAGCCATGTCTTTTTGAAAGATTGACCAAGCGCCCGGGAAGAGATGAACCCGGCGATCTCTTACCAGGCAGTTAATGTCTCAAGCGAGAATAGTTTTCCATACTTTTTCAAAAAGGATGGTTTCTTGCCCAAGAACAAATGGACCCAGCTCATCTGCCACACCGGCTTTCTGTCTGAGTGGAAGATAAGGATGTGTTTTCCTCAGTTGACCTAACCAAGATGGGATGCTCTCCTTTTTGTTACGCCATTCGAGACCGTGTCGATACGGATTAATAGTTTGACCATACCGGCTGGTTTCTTTTTTTGGATGTCCAATCTGATTGGACATCTGACCGGTCAGATAGGTCAACAACCATTTCCTGACCGGCGTTTAGAATAGTCTTTTCTATAAAAGAACAAGTTTTATTTCTTGACTAGGGAACAAATTACAATTCCTATCTATAAAATTTTTGCAAGTGATGAGAGTTCCAGTGCCGGTCGACCTGTCCGCCCTCCATGGTTTCAAGTTGATAAGTGCCCGGGCGAATAATTGCCCTAATGCGATATGGCCCTTCCCAGTTGCGCACAAGCTTGCATCTCTCGTTTGGCTTGCTTGCGTCCCTTCTTCACAAGAATTCATCATGCACTTGGAAATAACGCGGACCAACCTAGTTATCATGATACCTCTTCACGGATTCTTGGTACCCGGTCATTCTGATGGCAGGCATCGTTCTCCTTTCTTACACTAAGTTCAACTCGGCCAAGTGGTCAGCCTCGTTCTGACTGTGTTGATACACAACTTCTCTAAATGTTGGGAATTCTGCCTCGATCGGTAGCCGGGCCTCACATCCGTAGGTGAGCACAAATGGCGTTTCTCCAGTAGCGCTTCTGGAGGTCAGCTAGTGCGCCCAAATTGTGTGAGGCAATGCTTCCAGCCACTTGCGCCCTTCTTCGCCTAGCCTTTTCTTCATGCCATTCACTATCGTCCGGTTAGCCACTTGGCCTTTTTCTTGGGGATATGCCACCAAAGCCTTGTTATGCTTTATCCCAAAACTGCCCAAGTAGGCTGTGAACCGGGGATTGCGAAACTGTTGACCATTGTCCGTCACAATCATCTTTGGCGCCCCAAACCGGGTGATAATATTCTTCAAGACGCATTTCTCACACTGTTGGTCGGTTATAGTGGCCATTGCCTCTGCTTCCACCCACTTAGTGAAATAATCTATGGCTATCATAACGAACTTCTTACCACCTTGCGTAACCGAGAACGCTTTGATGATATCCATTCCAAGCCAGGCGAAAGGTATGACATTTGAAGTCAGCTGCTAATATGTATCCGGTCGGCCTAGGTCTAGCATGTCCTACACCTTTGCACATGCCTTTCGAAATCTCGCATGATGGTTGGCCAGTAATAGCTGAGCAAAATTATTCTTTGGGCCAGAGTCCGGGACATCTGGTGGAAAGCGCAAATACCCTCGTGAACCTCGGCGATCACCCGCTCAACCTCTGGGTTGGTGAGGCAGCGCATCAAAGGTCCTCCAAAAGCGCGCTTGTATAAGTGACCGTCCAGAGCTTGAAACTGAGGGGCTCGCAGAACTACTTTCCTGGCCCGTTCTTCATCGTACGAATTCTGACCGGTCATCATATATTCCATAAGATGAGTCCTCCAACATTTGTTCGCTTCGATCACCCGGTCTGGTGAGTTCTGGCCCTCTTGGACCTCTGCTATTGCTAGCCGATCAACGCTTGGCTGATCCAAAATCTCAATTTTCGCCAACTTTGATACATGCTCTGGGCAAGATTGCATCAATTTGGAGAGCATATCAGCGTCAATATTTTCTGACTGGGGAATCCGAGTCAGACGGAACTCCTCCATTTCTCTCAAAAGAGCTCGAATTAGATCGCTATACCCGGCAAGTCATTCCTCTTTAACCACCATCTCTCCATTAATCTACCCAATGACAATGTTTGAATCTGCCTGGATCTTCATCCTCTTGATACCGAGCGCCCGGGCCAACCTGAGCCTGCTGGCAAGGGCCTCGTACTCTGCCTCGCTGCTTGTGAGCTTGAAGTTGAATACAAATGCACGGTATATCTTGAATCCTTCAAGAGTAGTGAAAACTATCCCGGCTCCACAACCTTTTGGTCCGGAAGCTCCGTCCACGGCCATGTCCCACCACGGTTTGACTGTATGGGATGGTCCCGCTTCAAGCTCCAGACCGGTCAGTTCAACAAGGAAGTCTGTTAGGGCTTGACCCTTGATCGCAGTTCAAGGTTTGAATTTGATCTTGAACTAGGTGAGCATCATCGCCCACTTGATCATCCTTCCTGAAGAGGTGGAGCTGCGGGGGACCGGTCCCAATGGTTGGTCGGTCAGTACTTTTACTGCATGGGCTTGGAAGTACGCGGTCAGTTTTTTGGCCATAATAAAAAGTGCATAGGCTGTTTTTTCAATGACAGTATACCGGCTTTCTGCCCCGTTTAGTGCTTTGCTCACATAGTAAATAGGCCTCTGGCCAACTTCATTCCTTATCAAAATAAAACTTACAACATTTTAGGATATGCACAGATACAAATAAAAAGTTTCACTCGGTTTGGGCTTAGATACAACTATGTCGGAAACTAAGTACTCTTTTAGCTGCTGAAAGGCTTCTTCGCACTCCCTGTCCCATTCAAACATGATGGCCTTCTTCAAGACTTTGAAGAAGGGTAAGGATCTCTCAATTGACCGGGACGGGAAATGGCTTAGAGCTGCCAGCCGTCCGGTCAGCCGTTGAACATCTTTTAAGGAACTGGGTGACCTCATCTCCTTTGTCGCCTTGATCTTCTCCGGGTTGGGCTCTATTCCTCGCTTCGTGACCATGAACCCCAAGAACTTGCTAGTCTTCACAGCAAAGACGCTCTTCTTGGGGTTTAGGCGCAGGTTGTATTTGGCCATGATCTCAAAGCAATGCCTCATGTCCACTGGGTGGTTGGCTGCTCTCGAGCTCTTGATCAACATGTCATCTACATACGCCTCCATGGACTTGCCGAGTAATGGTTTGAACAACCGGTTTACCATCTGCTGGTAAGTGGCGCCCGAGTTCTTAAGTCCAAAGGCCATCACCCGGTAGCAATATGTCCCTTCGGGAGTAAGGAAAGAAGTCTTTTCTTCATCCTCCTTTGCCATGAAGATCTGATGATAGCCCTGGTAGGCATCCATAAAGCTCAGCAACTCGCACCTGGCCGTTTCATCAACCATTTGATCCGGACTGGGCAAGGGGTACGAATCCATGGGGCATGCTTTGTTAAGATCAGTGTAATCTACGCACATCTGCCAGGTGTCGCCCTTGGGAGCCAAGACGACATTTGCCAACTAGGGCGGGTATTCAACTTCTCTGATGTGACCGACCGCCAGCAAATCCTTCACTTCCTTTTTAACAAACTCCATTCAGACGTTTGCTAAGTGCCTCATCTTTTGTTTTACAAGCCGACTACCTTCCATTACAGCCAACCGGTGGCATATAACAGAACGGTCTATGCCTGGCATATCTGCTACACTCCAAGCGAATATGTTGGCATACTCCCGGAGGACTGATATGATTTCTTCTCGAAGTCCTTCCAGTAATTCCCGACCAATCCGAACCATTTTTTTTGGGAATGCCTCCCGGAGAAATATCTCCTCTATTTCCTCACCCGACTCCAATCTTGACCAGTCTTCGCCCTTCTCTATCTCTTGGGAGACCATAGTGACCCTCTCGAATGCCTTCGTCATCTTTTTCACTACTTCAAGATAGCAAGACCAGACCTTCTTCTGATCTCCTCTGACTTGTCCTATACCTTACGGGGTATAGAATTTCATGCATAAGTGCGCCATGGAGATGATTCCACGGACTTTGTTGATTCCCGGGCGCCCCAAGATAGCATTGTGAACACATTTTATGTTCACCGCCATAAATCTCATTTGCTTTTGCATGACCGTGTCCCCCGTGCCCAACTCAGCCGTTAGAAAGATCGTTCCTTCAGCTTCTATGGAAACTCCGGTGAACCCGGATAGGGGAGTTTTTAATGGCTCAAGCCATGTGCGACACAACTTGAGTTTTTCAAAGGCCTCCAGGTACATGACATTGACACTGCTGCCAGTGTCAACCAGTACCCGGGAAACATCAACCCCTCCCATGTCCATTGTGATTACCAAAGGATCATTGTGATCTTCCCCTGTGCTGGGAAGATCTCGGTCAGTGAAAGTGATCGGCTCCCGCCTGGTTTGCTTCCGCCGAGGGTCAAGGGCAACTGAACCGACATAGAGTTCACGCCCCCACTTCTTCCTTTGAGAAGCAGAATCTCCTCTCTCTGGCCCGCCGTAGATCATTTCCACATGTTCCTTCCCAGCCGCCTGCTTCTTTTTATTCTGGCTGGCCGGTTGTCCTTCAGGTCGTATCCACTGGTTCTTCTTTTGTTAGGCCTGGGAAGGGTCTCAATCATCTGCTTGATCACCCCTTTAACACTCTTGCACTCGGCTGTGTTATGGGTGTCCGTTTTGTGGAAAGAGCAGTATTCTTCTCTGCCTTCACTTCTCATCCCTGTCCACTCGCCTCTGCAACTTCTCCAATCGGGCTTCTACCCAATCCACATGGTCCCTGGGCTGCTCGACGTGCGTTCGAACCGTGTGCCTAGGGTGACTTTCTGCTTTCTCTTCCTCGCGGGGCGCCCGGCTGTGCTGGGGCTCATCTTGAGGACAAGGTTCGATCCGCCTGGTTCGACCAGGTCGTCCACTGCCTCCTCCTATTCAGTCAAATGCGCTTACCTGGATGGTCTCCACTCCCAACTGCTCCTTGGTCGGTCAGTTCTGATTCCTACCTTCATGTCCCAACCTTTGGAACGCTGAATGCCTTGATCCCTCGAGCTGGATTGCCTTGCCCTTCAATTTTTTTCTCGGCTCTAGGTTCATCCTAGTCCTCATCCTTGTTGTGGACTGAACGTATGTTCCCATCAGGCGTGACTTGAGTGTGGGATCTTCGTGATTGACTCCTTCTAGACCGGGACGGGCCAGCTTTATCCATCTCCCCGACGAGATTCGTCGGAATGACCGACCGGATAACGCTGGTTGGTTGAAATGGTGATGGATGCCCTGTTATATTTGGGAAAGGTGAACTTTGGGGCAGGGCTTGTGGATACATCCTTAGGATAAAGGGGGGTATTACTCCCGGCCGTTGAAACATGGACATGAACTGTCCAAAAGCTTTGAAGCGCCTGGGAGTACATTGGGTCCATGGGCCCGGAGAAGTTTGGGGGAAAACCAGGGATGTAGGTTACTGGTGTAGTGAATGGGATAGGTGTTGGGGTGGTGATTATGGGAGCAGGGATTGGTGTAATGGGTGAGGGTAGAGTATTTCCCCCCGGGAGCAGTGTAACACTCTCAGCCGGGGTGGAGATATGAGAAATGACTGTTTCCTAGTTATTTGTCATGGCTTTTTTGTAAAGAGGTCCCATGGGTGGCGCCAATTTTATGGTGTAAAACCGTGCAAATACTAAGTAAGAATAAGTGAAAGGGCTGTAGGTGGGAACACCTGTAAGCCGATTTGTTATTAATGATATTGGGACTGTTTGCAAAGTACAAGCCATGTGGATTAATGAAGAAGCACGTCAAGCACGTCTCCATTCTTCCGGCCAGTCAATCTCCAACCGGTCACTATGCATGCATTTGTCAAACGAAGCCATGTTTTGGATTCTGAATCTTCTCATGCCTAACCGATCAGACTTCCTGGGTTGACCAGGTCATAGGGCGTTAGACTCAGGTACCTCTCGGTCGGTTACGAACCTACCAGGTGGTATCAATGGGTTAATACCCATCAACACCATCAGCAGTGAAATGTGAAATTAATTTTGATAAGTCAGGTATAATTGATACTCCCTCCGTCCCAAAAAGAATGGGACGGTTTGACTTTTTGGGAAATTAAGGGAGGGATATTTTGGTATTGAGTTTCCAAAAATACCCTTGATGTGATGGGTAAAAGTAGGATGTGATGGGTAGATTATTAGAAAAATGCTATGATGTGATATGTAGGGTATGAAAAAGTAAGAGGTAAAAGTAGTTTTTTAATAGAAATGTAACGGACTTTATGGGATGCAGTTTTTTCTAAACGAAACAAACTTTTTGAGACGGAGTGAGTATTATTCTTGATAAATTTTTTTTATTAATATTAGAATTTACTCCGGCTAGGCGAGTGCGCGGGCGTGAACATAAAGCTTAAGCCCGGCCTTCAACTATGCGGGCCGGGCTATCCAAAGCTCGAGTCTAGTCCTTACCTTAAAATATCAAGCCTAAACTCGTTATTTTGTGGACATAATTTTGTGAGCGGGCCATAATCGGATCTAATACGGGAGTATCTAATTTACATATGTTTCTTAAAATAAGGACCATATACACTAGGGGACAAGATTCCTTCCTTGAGCCGAGCTGCAGGTAGCAGAGGTGGAGTGGAGCCGGCGAAAAGTGTATTCTCTACTCGATAAGTAATTTTTTTTTCTGTAGTCGGTACATAATTTTAATTACCCCTACTTTATTCTATTAAAACAATTATTCAAAATAGAAGCAAATCTTGGTTTTTATCCTCAAAATTAAAGTGATATAGTTTTATTTCTAAAATAAAATTATTGTGTTGTGACAATATATAACACGTTGGATGTTCCTATTTATTATTTGATAAATAAAATATTCTGGTCACATTAGGTTTTGTAGAAACTTTGATTAGCTTTTTACTATGAAATTTTTATTTTTTATTAATGTATTAATTTGTAAATAAAATATTTTTAAATATTGTGAGATTTTTTATCTCGTAATTTCCAAAGATCAGTGGATGTACTTATTTTCATGTACATTCAAATGAGCATTGTGTAACGCATAATGTGTAAAACAAGTAAAAGTGAGCTTCTTTTGCAATTTTATTTCGATCACTTTTATTTTCATATAGATTAAACGTGGTATTGGCAACAAAAAAAACCATGAAATGGGCACAACTATGATTCCTAAAAAAAACCAATGAAATGGGCATTGTGCAATTTTAAAATGTATGTGCTCTGTGTATGTGAAGAAATAAATGCGTGAAATGATATTGTATGTATAACTTACAAATATGAATATATAAGATTTTATTATAAATATTATAAATTCAGATGTATAGTATTAAAAAAATCAAAGTAAAATAGTTTTACTCTGTATTTTATTAGGAAAATGAAAAAAGTTCAAAAATTATTATATATTCCTTAGAATAGTTCAAGGAATGGGAAAGTTTTAAGAAATGAATTTTAAATAAGTGGAAATAAACTTTACTCCCCACCCATATATGTTCTTTGCTGCTAGCTAGCATCTCTCTCTCTCTCTCTCATCTCTCTCTCTCTCTCTCTCTCTGGTACGGTGATGAATATGGGAAGAAGTAGAACTTTTTCTTCTTCTTCTTCTTCTTCTTCTTCGGCGTGTTTGTGTGTGCTTGCCCTTTTGGTCATTTTGTCATCAGGTTGTGGTAAGTTACTGCATTTATATATATGCTTCCCCCATCACTTTCTCAATTCAAAATCATTATATTTGCAATATACTCCCGGCCCTCACTATGTGAGTGATGCATATCTCTTGAACAAATAATAAGCATATATACATTCTAGAATGAGAATGGGTAATTTTTTCCGCGATTAATTTGGTGTAAGATTGTGACATCAATTCAATTGGTCTAGTTCTTGGTCCTAAGATCAACATATGAAAACTGAATCTTTTCAGATTTTTCAGAAATTGACAGGCAGATTTTTTTCTTTTTGTAAAATGTCAAACTTTTTAATGATACCAATGCATAAAATGAACATGAAACTTAAGACCTGCGTAAGAATTTGCCAGGGCTCCTATTGAACTCATCATATCCCAAAATTGACAATTCTACGTATCGGACCGTCTCTAACGCACCCTGATCCCTCCAGATTGCATCATCCAAAATTTGGTCAAAAATTTAAGGGATTTATTTTTCTTAAATTTGGAGTGTAAAAATAGTTTTTAGTTATCGGAAGATAAATTCTTGAAATTGTCATCATCGTACCGTTTGGTACGACTGTACGAGTCATAATTGTGGGATTTGTGGGCATCTCACGGATCCGTAACATTGCATAATGCTCCCTCCATAGGAGTTGGTCCAGTTTGGCTTTTCACTTATTTTCTTTATTTTCACTCTTCCTTCCAAAATACTATTATATAGTCATTTCACTTCTTCTTTTATAAAACTTTGTAAGAAAAATTGTCTAAATAATTTCACATTTTCGTGATCTTTCAAAAATAATCTCACTTTTCACCGTCACCGGAAATAATCCCACCTTTTTGCATTGGCGGATCCAATAAGAGATGAATGGGGGCACTTGCCCCCAATGAATTTTTAACTTTTTAAAAGAGTATCTTAATTTTTTTAAAAAAATATTGTTATGCCCCCATTGTAAAAAATTAAATGCCCCCACCAAAAAAAATGAAATATTCCCAATAAAAAATTGAGTTGAAAATCAAATATGTATTGTTAAAAAATGATTGTAAAATATTTAAAATAACAAAAACATAAGATGAAAATAAAAATTATTAAGAGAAATAATTTTCTAGGGTGTATTTTTAAAATTTTTCATTAATTATTTGAATATTTTTAGATGTTTTTTTCTGGATCCGCCAGTCTCGCCCCCAGTCTCTTCAATTCCTGGATCCGCCACTGCCTTTTTGTATGCGTGCGAGTTTTGGGTCGTTGTTAAAAAATTAGTGGTCACTTAAAGTAATTTTTGAAAAATACATGTGTTTCGCAAACAAATGAAAGGTGAGATTATTTTAGGTAACTTCTCTTTTTATCTTTTTTATAATTTCTAACTTTAAATTTCAATGTATTTTTTAAATTTTTTGGGAAAAATAATACAAATTTTAAGTGTTTTTAGAGTGAAACTAGTTGTTTTCAATAATCTATAATATGGTAATAATTAAAAAAAATAAATTACAAAACACAAAATTTGTAAACCGTTAGACAAATCTCTAACAAGAGTATACTATTATATTTCTAAAATATTAATTTTAAATTTTAAATTAAAAAAAGTAAAAAGTAAATTTACCTGAAGTAATCTCACCTTTAATTTATTTGCGAAAAGCAAACATTTCTTAAAAGTGGCCATTAGTTTTTTAACGGCGGCCCAAAACTCGCACACATGCGAAAATGTGGGATTATTTTCGGTGACAGTGAAAAGTGAGATTATTTTTGAAGAGCGCAAAAAGGTGGGATTATATTATTTGAGATGATTTTTCCAACTTTTTATATAGTTTTTAGATATATAAATTTTATGTTTGAATTTTACACTTATAATTGAATAAAATAAATTAAAAATAATTTCAGTCAAATATTATAAAACTAAAAGGGAAGAATATTTTAGATGGCAGGGGTATTTGTTTATAAATGGATGAAGTGGTTAATGGTTAAAATGTTCAAGAGAAGAAAGATATGTGATGGAAAAGAATGTGTCTTTTTGTATCTTTTAAATAAAATTTAATTTTCAATCCGTCCTTGAGTATTTGTTAAGTTTAATTTTTCCAATCAAACTGAAAAAATTCCAATCATCAGTTACATTGAATTTATGTTACATATTACAAAATAATAAATTAAATTAAATTTTTAAAACTTCTCTTCAAGATAAATCTAATGAAACTATTTTCATATTAATATACAATACACTTTTAGATACTTCTTTGGTGCATCTTGGGTGTATATCATTTTTGCGAACCTTCTCACATAAAACTTTTTTTCTATTTTTTATTAAAAAATAATAAATGCTTATTTAAGTAGTAAAAATACTTATTTTGCTCATATGTATGTTCATGGTAGACCTTAGGTCCACATAAGAATTTGCCTACACTTTGTTAATTGGTGGTGATAGCCACACGCCTTAAAACACTAAATACACCGGTCAACTAAATACACCTTGGATAAATTATTATTCAAAAAAGTTATATAACTTTATTATGTAAAAAACATTTTGAAACAATGTTTGAAACTATTCCTCATTTATTTCATTTTATTACTTTTCAAATAAAATAATATATATTTTAGTTTTAATTTTAATTATAAAACATTGGAACCTCTTATTTTAATTTTTCAATAATCAAAATAACTTTCATTGTTGATACGATCATTGATTTTGTATAAAATCTCTATTTTCTAAGTATTACTCCATATATCAATATCTATTTCTCCATTTTTTAATCTACATACTTATTTTATTATTTTAAAAATATAGTTATATAAATTTTACTTAAAAATTTTATACAGAGTATACTCTTTAAAATTATTCACCATTATTCTCTTTTATTTATTTTCAAGAGCAAAAATCTATATAAATGTTATTAAATGTGAATTATTATTAAAACTATAACTTTTATTTTAAAATATACCATATTTAATAATTAATATATACTCCATATTTAGTAGAATAAAATTTAATTATCATTAAACTATTATTGTATTATGATTCAAACTAGAACTTTTATCAAAATCTTAAAATTGAAAAATGTTGTATATGAGCTCATGGATTAAAAATAATTTTTTTTGAATAAGTATTAAAAATGATTTTGAAACTAATGGAGTGAATTTAAGCCATATTCTTTTGGGTTAGAATTTTAGAGTTGGATGTTGGAAGAAACTGGAATGAGTTGGAAAAACTGGAAGGAGTTGAAAAATATTGGAAGAATTTAAGTATTGAAAAGATACTCAATTAAATGATCATCTAAATAAATATGCTAGAAAGTTTTAATTTTGGATAAAAAAGAATCCATCAGTGTCCATATTTGACGTGATATGTTACAAATTTAGATTTGTAATATCATTTTATATTAATCTTATACAAATACTTTTTTAAGTCGTTATTGGAAGAAACTGGAAGGAGTTAAAAAAAGTTGGAAGTTAATTTTTCCAACTCAAAAGAATATGACCTTAGTGTCTGGAGTGAAGTTAGTGTTTGGGTGGGGTGTGACAATCACCACCCTTTTTTAATTAATGATTAATGTTTCTTTCGTTTGACTTACAAAAATAAATTGCACGAATACCCTTCTACAAAGATAATAACATACTTTTGTACAACGTACGAAGTAATTTTTATTTATGTGACAATGAAAATATATTGAAAACAAAAATGATATGAAAAAAGTAGATCAATCTTTTACTTATGACAACCCTCATAAGTCGTAAGGCAAATGTAAAATTTTCTACCAACAACATTTTGCTAATTAATGATACCAACTACTTTCTCCTTACAAAATTATTCCATTTTTTTCACAAAGTTTAAACAAAATAAATTTATGTTGATTTGATATATGTAGAAGAGACGAAAGTAATGTCAATACTTTAATACTTTTCTTTAAAATGAAGAGAGTACACCAAATTGGTGTACACTAAGATCATATTTTTTGTATTGGAATTTTGGAGTTGAATGTTGAAAAAAAATAAAAATAATTGAAAGAAATTGGAAGGAGTTCGAGAAATCTAAAAGGTGTTGGAAAATATTAAAAGAATTAAAGTGTTAAAACTTTACTCAATTAAACGATCACGCACATAAATATGTAAAAAAATTCTAATTTTGAATAAAAAGAATGGAAGGAGTTGGGAAAAATTCAAAGAAGTTAGAAAAGGTTGAAATGAATTTTTCCAACCTATTGAGCAAGTCTTAAATACACAATAAATCAACTAGTTTATCTAACTGTGTGTATGCCAAATTAGTGTACATAAAATATATAAGGGTATGCTTGGTATAAACTACATTGGTGTACACCACTTGTACACCATTGTGTAACAAACACACAAAGATAACATTTGTTTGTGTACACACCATGGTGTACAAGTTGTGTACGCTAATATAGTATACAACTAACATTTTCGAATGTGTATACGCAAGACATTGAAATTTATAGAAGAATATACAGGTATTACATTTTAAGATAATAACCAAAGTTTGCATTATCTCATTTAAAGAATAGAAAAATATATAGATGTCACATTTTTTGTAATATCTGTCCAAAATATTTTTTTTCATATTTTGAAACTTTTTATACTCCGTAATAAGCAACCACTAACAGGCTATTTGGGTAATATTGGAAATATACAAAAGTGTACTTCATTTGTACAATACTAGTCTTTTTACCATACATTCCTATCTATTTCTCGTTCTTCTTGTTCACATAAAAAAATATGTGGTGGAAAGACTGCGTACAAATAGTAAGTTTTGTGGTCATTGAAACCATTGTATTTCTTAGAGCATAAAACTATAGCACTCAATACAATACAAATTTGATTGTGAAAATATTTTGGGTTAGACTGGACACTTGTCATATAAATTTTGTAACTCAATGTCACATCAGTTTTTTTATTGGATTCTAATCTAGGGGTGTGGATCCAAAGCAAGTTGAAAACCGAAGCCTTTTGTGTCTTCTGCATCAACTTCTCTTGCACACCAAATGCCGAACGCGGTGGGAAGTGGGGTGGTCTTGTCGACGCCGACTGCCGGTGGCAGTGTGGCACGCCAATGCCGCCTCACCATTCACCCCCTTAACAAGAAAAAGAGTGACTTTACTTTTTGTTTTGTTTTGTTTTGTTTTTTGTAGATGCAAGAGAACCTTACGGCGCCTCTTTTCATTCACAAGTCGCATCATCAGTGAAGACGTTGAAGCGGTTCGATGTATATCTACCTTTGGATTCTTCTCCCAATCCAAGTTCTCAACCTTACGATGTGAGTTCCCCTTTGAATTTACCCCCATATGAGTCCCTTGCTCCCATTCCATCGCCCGATGAGAACAACCCTCCCTATTGCGTCTATCCTCCGCCGTCAGCTACTCTTCCCAGCCCCGGCGGCGGGTATATTCCGTCGCCGTCGTTCCCGACGCCGCGCAGCCCGCCTCAAATCGTCCCGAGCCCAGCCGAACCTGTTCATAGCCCGCCTCAAATCGTCCCGGGCCCATCCGAACCAGTTCATAGCCCGCCTCCGATTGTCCCGAGCCCATCCGAACCAGTCCAAAGCCCGCCTCCAATTGTCCCGAGCCCGCCCGAACCAGTCCAAAGCCCGCCTCAAACCGTCCCGAGCCCAACCGTGCCAGTTCAAAGGCCGCCAATGATTGTGCCGAGCCCGAACGAACCAGGTGTAAGCCCACCTCAATTCGTCCCTAGTCCAACAAGGCCATTTGTAAGCCCGCCATACATCAACCCGAGCCCAACTGAGCCTGTTCCAAGCCCACCGCGGGCAGGGGGGCCATTCCTGCCACCAGTGGTGTACCCCCCTCCGACGGCGCCGCCGCCACCGTCAACGACGCCTCCGACGGCGCTGTGGTGCGTGGCTAAGCCGGCGGTTCCGGAACCAATAATACAGGAGGCAATGAACTACGCGTGTGCATCGGGGGCGGATTGCGACCAGATTCAGCCGAACGGGGTGTGCTTCCAGCCGGATACTCTCTTCGCCCACGCCTCATACGCCTTTAATAGCTATTGGCAGAGAACGAAGCAGGCCGGTGGCACTTGCGAGTTCGGAAGCACCGCCATGCTTGTCACCGTCGATCCAAGTCAGTGCTTCATCTACCTTCATTTCTTTTTTCAAATTACTCACTCCATCCTAAAATTAATTTCCCAGTTTTAAACTTTGACCGTACTGAAAAAATATAATGAATTTTTATATAAATTTATTATCAATAGATTCATTTTGAAACATAGTTTTGAAATATGTTATTTTTGTAATATATATATATTCATATAAAAATAGATATATTAATGATTAAAGTGTCGCATTGAAGATCGTGAAAAGTCAAATGAGAAGTTAATTTTAGGACAGAGGGAGCATTTTAATTTCAATTTTAGTTATGTTCTTACTTTTTCCCCAAGCTAAAATTTAGGAAATCTGTTTGCAAAAAAAAGGAAATCTACTACATACTTAATTCTTTTTTAAAAAAAGTACTCTCTTCAGTCCTCAAAACATTTCCTGTTTTGCTTTTTTTAGTCAAATAGTCATACTCTTTGGCCACAAATTAGACATAAATAAATAAATATATGATATTCAAAAGTGATATATCAAAACTTTATTTTGAGATTATCCTAGTTATATTAAATTTATATTATAATTTGTGGTTTGACAAAAAATTTATGTCAAAACATAACATTTGAGTGACACTTTTAAATATTTTAAAAAATCCAAATGCATTATTGAAAGAAAGTAAAAGACAGTGTCATTTTTGATAGAAACGAATAGTTTAGTGATTTGGCCATGATTTCATATGATCAATATGGACTGTCAATTCAAAGCACAAATAAAAGTGTATTTTATTTAATTCATTCTACAAAGTCCATAAGGCACTCGTATGGAGTATATTTGTGCTGTATATATATTTTGGCCAACGTATCAATATCATCACATAATTAATATAATTCTACAAAAGCCATATAAGGATTTGATATTTTCACCGTGATAACACTGTACGAATTGGTATTATCTCTTGAAATACTAATGAATTGGACATTTATTTTGAGCAACGTTTTTTTTTTAATACTCGGGTACGTAAATGTTATTTTCAAATGAAGTCCATATGTTAACCTGTTATTGCATCCAATATCTTTAATAACACTGTGGTGCATGTATTTGTATCCCTCTACAGGTTATGATGGCTGTCATTTCACATATATGTAACTTACATTACTACTTGGTTTGGTATATATATATATATATGTGTGTGTGTGTGTGAATGCTATATATAGTAGCTTGCTTGCTTGCTTATACTGGCTGGGAATTAATGGATCGCGATCGAGCACGCATAAATCCCATCGTCAATATCAGTCTTAATGGATACGATCGAGCACGTAACGAAGTTCATGTGAAGATCGATCGTGCGACTACATTTTCTGTAGCAAAATTCTTTAGGTACGTACATACCGAGAACAAACAACACTTCTTTGAATATAATGCTTCCATGTCGTCGTGGGATATACCTTTAGATGATGTTAAAAATAGTACTATTATTATTGGTGTACATTAAGAATTACTCTTTTGTGTTACATTTTGTACTTGGTATATATATATAACACTTCACTGGTCTTTATTTTTTTTACTGCAGAGTAATTATTTATTTATTTTTCCTTATAGAATTGAAGATTAGTTTTCTGAATCTCTACATACAAATGCTCGCTCTTTTTATACACACTGGCAATTATTTTTATTATCATCAAATTGTGTCGTGCGTTAGATCTCAGGTGCTCGAAAACAAACAAAAATGTCTATTCTACACTAGCTTGTAGGTATAAGAATATTATGCTGGAGTTAGTAATTTCATTCTAGTTAGTGCATTTAATTTTATTCTTATTAGTGTGCTGTGATTATGCACATTGACCCATCTTTGGGAACCATATACTTTTTTTAATCTCGTAGTCATATACTCTCTCCGTCCCCCATAGATCTTCCCATTAACCCTTTTTATTTGTCCCACATAGATCTTCTCATTACCTTTTTTAACATTTAAAATACCACAACTACCCCCACTTACTTTATTTATTACACCTTTTCCACCTTATTTAATACACCCCACCCATTTTCATTAAGGGTATTTTGGTAAACTTTCACCTTTTTTCAACTCTCCTTAAAAACCGCAAAAAATCAAAATGAGAAGATCTTAGGGGGACGGAGGGAGTATTTCAACTTTAAAGTAAATTCCATAATCTCTGAAGATGATAGAAATTTATGTAAAGAAAATTGATAATGATGTTGAAAGCATAGTTGTGCTTGACCTTGTTTGTCTAAGAACCTATGCCCCAGCACATTAAATGTGCTAGATTTAATGTAACCAGTGCAGGGGGGTCGTTCTCTCCACATTGGCAACGTAATTGGTACATTGCTAGCTAGGACATAGTTGTTTCTTAAGTTCCATCGTGAACTTCGCCCAAGCAAGTGTCTAAGGTGGATGTGCCCTTGTTTATATTATCCCCTTGTTTCCTCTTCCATCATTCCACCGCCAATAACTCCGAGGTAGAGACGTGGCATGGCACAACCTTCAAGTGCGTCTTTTGCGACGAGTGATCTGTAATATGGCTCCATACTCCATTTGAAACATCTTGTTCTTTTGCCATTTATTGCCCCTTTGAAAGGCTTGTGCCACAAAACATCTATCTTAGTCCTTACCTCGAACAACATCGTGGCCGGTCCACATAACATGACCCACGCCCTTGTATGGACTTCATTGTCCAAATTTATTCGAGACCCTCTCAAGCTCTTCCTGGACCACAGATGATTTAGTCCTATGAGACTCTTCCATGGCTTTTATGCTGCTAGCAGACAATTGAGACCTTGTTCTTAGTAGTTGACATGATGATATTCTTCTAGAACCTCCTCTATGAACACTTTTTGAACAGTTCCACATATCTCCAAATTGTAAACCTCTACAAATTTCGGGCAATTTAAAGCAAGACATTACAATTAGCGTGGGATACACATTCTCCAATGAGCACAAGGGAGTGGATCATGTACTCCCCCAAACTTTTGTATTCCATTTTGATGAATGAAGTGACTTGTTTTAAATAAATAAAAAAATAGAGAAATATGACTCAATAGTGTATTGACCATGGCGAGAAGATAGCTCACAACATGGTCGAATTGACCAAGTCTATTTCTTCTTCCACATAGCCAAGACCATTAGAAAGTCTAACACTATTTTGGTTCAAGCAATTTGAAAGAGAAAATAAAAATGAAAGAAAATCACTTTCTTTTATTTTTCTTTCGAATTCCGTGAACCAAAAGGAAATTCAGTTAGATTTTGTTTGGCCATGCTTTTAAACTGAAAACAAAAACAAAACTGTTCCCAACAATCGACCAGCATTACTGAATTGCAGCAAACCCGTAGATAAATTCATGGTACATAATACAGACTAAAACATAGACATTCACAAATCCGTCGAAAAGCACATTTATTAATCTTGACCAACAATCGTCTCGGGTTTCACAGCCGATTTGTATGTCTGCTAAGATGCAACACAGTTTGCGGCTATCTTTCTTCACTCACAACATTATATATATGATCCTACAAATCATTCAAATGAGCAAAAAATATATAGAAAGATTGCAATGTTGTTGCCAGCAGTATTCACAACTTCACAAATTTGCATCTCCTACCACACACCAATGGAGTTGAGCTCTCGAATTTTTCGTCGAAAAGATGAATGACATAAATAACAGAGTTTCAATGGTAAAAATAACACAAAATGCCAATGCCCCCCCACCCCCAAACCCAATACAAAGGACTATTAGCAGCTATTTACTTTCCTGGACCTTGAATATTTTATTCGGAGTCCTTCACAAGTAGCCATTGCTAGGTTTTGAGCACTCAAGCTTTCCATAACCGTTTGGCACTTTACAATGGTGGTGGTACATGAGAAGTGCAGAAGGGGTCGAATTGGATCGACCAAAGAATTAGTTTAAGAAACACCAATCCACATTCAAATCGATGTATAATTGGGGAAAATGAGCATCAAGTTATCAAGAGCTTCTGGTAGGAATTTCCTCCCAAAGAGGTAACACGGTCGTTGATTTCCATTCCAAAAACAGGGCATAGTTTGAACTTCCCTCTGCAATTCAAAGCAAGAGGGGGGAGAATAAGTTGCACTCGAATATTACGGAGTACATTACAACCATAACAATCTAACAAATTAATCATTAACTCCATACCATAAAGAGAATCACGTTTTTCTCAATGTCCAATTTTCAGAATTTAGTAATTAATGCAAATTCATCAAATTTAGCTATTTTCAAAACTTACATGTTTTAACTAAATTCAACACTCAACTTGATGGGGATACATTTTTGAAAAATAACATTACAAATAATGAAAATTAGCTTCTTTTATAAAATTTAGATTTTTTTTTGCGACAAAAAATAAGTTTTAAGTCGTGACTCTATTCATGGGACGGAGTTTCATATACAAAAAAGAAAAAAACAATACCCTTGAATCACTTGTAACATGCACACTCTCAGTAATAGACTGCAAAACAGGAAAAACTATTAAGAGCATGTCGTGCCTAGTCACGATAGAAAGCCAGAAATGTCATATCAAATTAGAAAAGGGAACTAATATGTGGCATTAAAATAGAATAAGGATTAAAAATCATAAAGTCAATCGTTGTGTCAGTAAAATGATGGATCCTGGTAGAGATATCAAAACACAAGATTATCAATTAGACATTTGAACAAAGAATTTACCCCTAAGAAAATCAATATTTCAATAAATGTGTGCAATGCATGAAGGAGAAAAGTTCAAAATTAAATGAGCATGCCTACATAGTACGAAAAGGTAGAGGTAAGTAGGCCATACTGTAATGTTTTTCATGAGCTTGTAGGTGATATCACGGGCAGTGTATGATTTGGGGTGCCACTTTCTCTCGGACCAATCAACATGTGTAACTGACCAATTTGCAATTCCAGAGGGATCAAGCATCTGAACTTGAAACAGAAATAATTCACATCATCTATAACTTGTTGAATACAGAAAACCCTAGAATAGTCATAAAAATGTATATCCATATTGTCATGCAAATATAACACACGATGACACGATTTCTTGTCAATAAAACCATTGAATTTTTAAAGGAGTAAAAGAAAGAAGTCACATACATAGAAAAAGGTAGGTAAATAGTGTTCATCAGAATAGCAGTTACGTCCTCCTTCCATGTTTGGCTGTTATGCAAGACATGAAAATGTATCAGTGGGTAAACAACACATGACCACCTCATTTACGCATTGAGCACATGGAAAAGACATCTAGAAAGAATACTAGATACAATTAAAATTGCTAATTTTTTAAATGCCTACAAAAGGTTGTACCTTCACATTAACATATGTGGCTTGGAAAAAGATTTACAGTTTTAAAATATACTCAAATCCAAATTACACATCGACTCTTGCCAGAATAACTAGCAGATACAAGTGATAAGAAAAAAAAATGAATATTTGCATTGGTCAATTTACCCATTACAGTTCCATTCATTGAATTCAAGGGCTGACATCAACACTTTCAGCTTAACTTTGTGCCTTCATATATTTGAGGTTGGAATGCATACACACAAGAATGCAAGAAAAAATGGGTTGAAGTTGGAAATTTTGTCGCCCAATACATTTGAAAAGTAAAAATGTTTAAAAGTTATAAATTATAATAATACTCTGTTAGAATTTTAAAAAATGAGCAACTCGTGAAGGATGGGAGGCTGATTCTGATAGACCCACAGCAAAATTATCAAAAAATTTGAGACAAGTTGCATACGAGAAACACAACAAGTGGGGACCACACCCAAGTTGACATAAGGAAGAACATCTGTGCCTACCCTAAAAAATACTAAATGTGTGAGGTAGAGAATATCATAAACCTCCGAGAAAGATACGGTAACAAAAACTTAAAAGTCATCAGAGATAAAAGCATGTTTGACACCATCTCTATCCCAAAAAAAGCTTGTTTTGAATACATTTTGCATTGGGGATGCCCTTAAAATTTCTGCATCTTCCATCTTTCTTCGTTCTTCTTTGGTTCTCCCCATCCTATTTCTTCATCTTCCATCCTTCTTCGTTATTCTCCCCTTCAACACTTCTTCTTTCTATCACCACCGACCACCCGCCACCTTCTTCCTTTTGCCATCGCCGGCACCAGCTTTCTGTCTTCTCCTGCAGCCACCTTCTTCCTTCCGCCGCCATGTGGTTTCGACTCCAGATCTAGGCCTTATCTACTGGAAACGGTCGTGATGTAGCACATCAGTGATGAAGGCAAGATCTACTAGAGGCAATGCAGGCAGCTGCCAGTGTTGGAGATGAAGGCAACAGTGTGAAGAGACGTTCAGTGTCGGTGATGAAGGTAGTGGTGTGAAGCTGCCGTCCGGCATTGGTGATGAAGGCAGCGTTGGTGACCTAACATGCGGCCGTGCAAGGGCGGGGAACGAGAACAGTGTAGGCGTATTTAAAAAGAGTCAACACCATTTTCAACTCTCCCAAATAGGCGTGCCGGGTCACCTTGGGAAGAACATTCCAGGACAGAGGGAGTGCTTTTTATTAATTCAGATCATTCAGCGTCAATGTTGGTCTTCACTTTGCAGCGCGCCTTCAACATCTCCTTTTTCAGAGGTTCCACACATTTTCTTCTTCATGACTAAGGTCTTCTTCCCCACTCCCCCGTCTCTCCAGTGTTTACTAACACAGTAACACCTCGGCTCTTCAGCCTTCAGCGTGGAAGGCACGGAGATCGCAAAGGTCAGCCCACAGCCGCCACTTACAAGTCACAAACACTACTCCAGTAGCCAAAGCACCACACGACGGCTAAGTTTCATTTTTGAAATCTATAATTTCTAGTTTCTACACAGCAGATCTACAAATATATCACTGAATAGTTTTATTATGTAGCTTCACGGTTGTTTCAGACTTAAGAGTTGATTTTGATTAGTATTGACTGTTGACAATTACAAATCTCAAATTTTATTAGTTTCACACTTGTTTGATTTTTTTAGGTGGTTTCAGTGACATTTAAAGAACTGAAATTCTAGCATTTTTACAATAATAAAATAGGAAATATATAACGTAAATAGCAAAATGATATATAGATGTAAATCTAACGTAAAAGAAAAACCTTGCAGTAATCGTGGAACTTT